GATGTAGGAGCAGAGGACTGGGATGTCCGAGGACCTCTGCCTCCTGTTCCTTTCCCTCCTGTCACATGCAGTCACACGTAGCACATTTCTCACACACACACACACACACACACACGCGTGCGCGCGCCTCAAGGTAAACATTATCCCGATTATTGTGATCCCTTTTGTCTCCCTACACAATTTTAACAGCTATAGATATTGCGTGGGTCATGTCACCACCTGCACGTACTCCTCAGCAAGGTGAGTTACTGCAGCCCCCCGCTGGGCTTCTGGTCCACAAACTCACACTCTCCTTGCCCGGCCCTCAGCGTGGCATGGCGTTTGTGGAACCCGCCCTTCCTCTCCCGTGTGGCTGGGGCTGGCTGCCTCCCGGCCTCAGTGGTGCTCCTAGGAATGAACACAGCACGGTTCACTTCCCACCCATCCCACTATGTCCCTATTTTTTCATTTATTGATTATTTGATTGCACTGGGGTTGAATCCGGTGCCTTATCACTGTGCTATGTCCCCAGCTCTTTTAAAAAAAAATGTTAGGGTCTCCCTAAGTCACGAAGTTGCCTGGGCTGGGCTCAAACCTGCAATCTTCCTGCCTCAGCCTTCCAGAGTGCTGGGATCACAGGCCTGCGCCCCCTCACCCTGCTCTTTGTGTTTATGAACAATATCACCGGTCTACCTGTCTCCAGCTTTTACTTCGGTTCAGGAAACAGGGGGAAGTCATCTGAGACTGGGACATTGCAGAAAAGAGCTTTGGGCTTTTGTGGCCCTGGTTCCCCCTTGGCTTCCTCACGTCTGGCAGCAGCTTCGAGCACTTCTTGGGCTCTGGACTCCTCTTTCCTCCTGTGGCCTCTTCAGGGTCAACATGGCAAAGGCTTCCCGCCATGAGGCCCCAGGATTTTGCTGTCCTGTGGCTCTTTATATTCTCGCATCTTTGCAGACAGCCTCTTTATTCACGTTCTTCTCTTCCACCCCTAGCGCGTGCAGCGCCCTCCTGTTTAAGATGCATGGGGAGATGCTGGTCACTTGTTCACCTCCTTGGGTACCCCTCTCAGGGGCCCGGAGGGAGACCCTGCAGCCCCAGCGGGCAAGCTTAAGTCTCCCATAGCCCTCCCTCCCTCGCTCACCACGAATCTAGTTTCCATCTGTAGATTTTCCTCTTCCGGACTTTTCACAGAAGAGTAATCATACACTATGCCATCCTTTAAAACTGGCTATCTTTTATTGAGCACAGTTTTGTGGGGTTTTGGCTCATACATTTTATATTGTAACCTGTACAATTGCATTTTTAATTCCGAAAATACTCCATTGTATTTTATCCATTTTATCTAGCTAGCTGGCTCATTTTAATCTGTCCATTCATCAGATGATGAACACTGAGGTTGCTTCCACATTTAAGCTATTACTCAATGGCAAGAGTAGCTATTGTGTAGACCCAAGTTTTCATTTCTTATGAGTGTGCTTTTCTTATTGATTCATAGAAGCTCTTTACACATTCAGGTCATAAGTCCTTTGTAGTCATGCAATATCTTCTCTGACTAATGTTTTTCTTTTTGCCCTCTTTCTGCTTTCTTTTGATGAACAGAAATTCCTAATTCTAAAATAGTTAGGCCTATCAATCTTTTCCTATATTGGTAGTGCTTTTGGTGCCTAATTCAAGAAATCTTCCCTGTCCAAGTGCATGAAAATATTCTGTGTTTTCTGCAGGTTATATGGCTTGGAGCTGCATCTTTATCCACCCAGATTTTTAATGATGATATTGGCCTGTAGCAAGCAGCAGCTGACACCAGGTCATTCATTCTGTCAGTGCCCAGATCCTGGGGACCTCCCCTGTCCCTCCAACTTTACTTCTCATGCAGGCGGTCCAGCTATTCCTGCAGCCATTCTTCTCTCTCTCCCAGGGCCACTGAGTCTTCCTGGGGTCCTGCATTGGCACCAGTGGTGGCTTCTGAAGTCACACTGCCCATGCTCAAATCCCAGTCCCGTTACTTATTAGCTGTGTACACTTGCAGAAGTTACTTTACCTCTCAGTCTGTGATAGCATTTCCTAGGCTATAAAATGACAGCAACTCGGGGGTTAAATGAATGACTCATATTCATGTCTTCCTAGCGTTTGGCACATGGTAAATTCTCAGCAAATGTTAGCTCTGACATCCACCCACAGTCATGAAAGAGAGAGCATGTGGTCAGTCACAAGTCGTAGCAAAATGGTCACTCCTTGAAAAAGCTCAAAAACCAACAGATGTCGTAAGAAGAAAGCATGGTTGTCTCTACTACTGCTTTACACCATCATGATGAATCTCTTCCTTTGCCTTGAACTCAGAGCCTTCAGAGTGTACTTTGGAAGCAAGCAGGGCAGAGCAGAGGGGTGTGGAAATTGAAGGAGGTTGTTGTGCTTTGAGTTTGGATAAAAATGGTTCCTTTGTTATGTTCCAGACACAACATATGGGAAAGTGAAGCTGAGGTGCTAGTGGAGGTGATGGTAGACGCCTCAGGAGTTCATGGGAGCCATGGGGAGAGCTTGACATGTCCACGGGTTGGCGGGGAAAGGAGGGGTGGTGATAGGATTCAAGCCTGGTGCACTGGATCGAAGTTGAAACGCCTCATCTGAGTTCTTTGAGGAAAAAAAGCACAGAATGCACATGGGTGCTGTTGGCCCTAATTACTGGCTACTAAGCAAGGAGCTTAGTACTTGCTCCTCTCTTCCCTGCTGGGCTCTGTCTTGGCAGGGCTCCTTCTGGAGAGGCCAAATGGGCAGCGCTGGACCACGTGTTTGCTTTGGCTTGGGTTTCACCTCTCACTTCTGTTAACGTTCCTCCAGCTCCCACCCAGAATACGGGTCTCTTGGCCACACCTGCTCTTTCTTCTCTGCCCGTGGCCTCAGCGCTCTGATTTCTCCATCGGCTGCTTGGCTCTTGATTAGGACTCAGAACTAGCTTCTGCTCACATATTTTCCATCTGAACTTCTGGAGCGGACAGCATTTCACTGTGGGGGACTTCTTGGGGAGAGAAGGGGCAGACAAGGTTGGTACCGGAAAAATCAAGTTCATCTACCTGGATGGCTTTCAGGTGAGACCACGAAGAGCCCTTCTCCTCCTGGGTCTCTGCCCACCAAGCATCAGCCCCACTTAGAGGCCATTATGGCCAAAGAGGCTAACACTGACCTTGAGGCTGGAAAACAGACGAGGAGGGGATCGAGGTTTCCGGCTGGCTCCCTGCCTTTGGGTTCTCTCACGTTCACCCTTCTGGGCCTTCTCAACTCATGGCCTTGGCCTAGCGAGAGTGCCAGGGCAGGCCACAGTCCCTGGCCAACTCCTGTGCCAACCACTGCACCCACGAATGGCAAGGCGTGCTCTGGCTACTAACAACTTGGGTACTGGATTAGTTAGGGTTCTCTGGGGACAGCAGCAATGGAAAACATGTGTATAATTATGCAAGGGGTTTTGCTAGGCAGGCCCACAGGATTGGAGGCTGGAGAGTCCACAAGGGTCGTCTGGGTGCTGGAGAGCTGGAGGACCTAGTAGCTGCTCGACCCAAGAAGACGGAAGGCTTCCTGGAATAAGAGGGATGGAGGATGCGGCAGCACCCCACAGTTGGAGGCCTGGAGAGTCGCTGGTGGGAGTCTCCAGCATTGGAAGGCCGAAGAAAGTGGAGAGCTGGAGACCTATGTCCAAAGACCAGGACAGCACAGGGTGATCACACCCAAGGAGACTAGAGGTTTTCAAACAGGAACATTCCCTCCTTCTTTCCCTGTTTCTTCCTTCCAGGCCACAAACCTATTGGTTGGTGCCGCCTACATCCAGGGTGGGTTAGGGTCAGTTTGTTGGCCTCCACGTCAATCAATCATAGACATGCCCAGTCCTGGGCTTGGTTAATCTGCTGGGTATCTCCTACTCCAGTCGGCTGACACGTTGCGGTTAATGGTCACAGGAGTTCATGTGCTCCATCAAGGTCCAGATCAAGGCATTCAGCTTGGCCCAGTGGCTCCACGGGATGGCCTGTCTCGAGGACCTCTTCCCTGGACTTCGCCTTGGATGGCCACCCTAGCCAAGCACACTCTTGCAAGGTGGAGCAGAGCTGTGGAGAGCATGTTCAGGATATGAGGTTGCATCCTAGTTCTACCACAAATTATCTCTGTGGCTGAATAACTCCCTCAGCATCATCCTATGTTTTTCATTTACAAAATGAAGCTAATAATGCAAAGAGGTCTGAGATGTCTTGAAGATTGCCCACAACTAATGAGGTGGGAAACTCCCTGAAAACACATCAGCCACACCAAGACAGGAACAGGGCTGGTGTCACGAACGGGAAGGTGGGCGTTCTCCACACTCGGGTGTCGCATCCATTGCTCGATAGAAAACATGGTGGGAAACTGAGTCAGGAGCTCAGAGCACTGTGCACAAATAACTGGACTGGGACTGGTGCCTGATGTTTGACAACAAAATGTCCCTGAGTTGAGGCAGCATGGAGCCAGGACAGCAGAGCCAGGGTCACCTTCTGGCACCTACAGTGCTTTGGCCTTGTCCTCATGGCTGGACAGGCCTTGATGCTGGAATAAGCAGGGGCTGCCTCAATTGCAGGTCTTCAGTCTCCTGGCTAGGGCCATGCATCCAGGGACAGACTTTTGTGCCCATAGGCAGTGGTCACAGAAAGCCAGGGGCTCCTTGATAGAAGCCAGGCACTGCTTTCAGTGACTCCCAGCAATGCCCCTCTGGGCTGACCTCTGAACTGCAGAGGCTCTCCTGGGGGCTTGGAGCGCTCCACAGACATAACGCAGGGGCCCAGGCATTCAGGGCTGCGTTCTGTGTTCCAAGCTAGTAAATTTGTGGAGCGGTTAGCAGGCCGCCTGGCGCATGTTAAAGGCCCCATAAAAGATGCTCATTACTATTAAGCACGCGTGCCTTCGAGGCCAGAGGACAGAGCCTGCTCCTTGGCAGCTCAATCTCCCTGAGGGGCGGGCGGCGCCTTAGGAACTGGAATTATTTAGCAGCTGACACATTCAAGTCACTCCAAGGAATCTCCCACCCTGCACAGAAGTCTGATCCAATTTGCTGGGCCGCCCTCCTGAGACCCTCTGTTTCCAGATGCACATCCAAGGTAGGGGCACCAGAGTGGGTGGAGGGGTGGCTGGGCTCGCCTAGAGCTGGGAGCCTGCAGGCCTCCACCACCCAACCCCCAGTGCGCTCCCTGGGGCAGGAGCTGGGAGAAAGGGAGGAGAGGGTGGAAGGCCAAAGTCAGGGATGCCCTCTCCCGGGTAGGGTGCACAGCACCAGGTCCTGGGTCATTGTGGGTGTTTATCATCCACAGTCCTGGGAAGAGCTAGCCTGAAGGACAGAGCTTTGCAGACCAGGAAGTTCTTTCTGCATACAAAACCTGAGCCTGAGATTTCCCTGCAGAACTTTCAGAACTTTGGAGCTCAAGGCCCCGTGTCGTCTCTCCAGAAAGGGGATGGACGTGGGTCACTGAAGCCAGGTTGGGATGGCGTCACTGCACTTCCCAGGCATTGAAAACTTAGTCTGTCCAGAACTGCTCTGTGCAGAAAGCAGAAGAGCGGAGAATGACTTGCACCAAGCTGTTCTGGCCTTGGATTCTCGTAGAACCTGAGCGCCTGGAGGATGAGGGGTGGCTGTAGAGGAGGAGAAGGGGACAGGGTCACCAGGGCAGTGTTCAGGCCAAGCAGAACCACTGTGGCCTTACACATGGCCCACTGAGGCTCAGCCCAGCCCGCTCACTCTGCCACCCCCACCTGTGCTCAGTGCGGCCACCGTAGATCTGCAGTCTGACTGCCACCTCTTTTCATGAGACAAAGCTCATGTGCTTGCATAAAATTAGTGAGTGTAGGATGTAGTTCTGATGGTGGCTAGAAAACATTGTGTCCTGTAAGAACCAAAGCCTTTTCCCTCTGTAAAAGGCCAGGCCGATGAGAGGAGGGGTCGGGAGAGCAGCTCCTGGGGGTGTAGAGAGGTTCCTGGCAGGGGGACCCCAAGGCTTTGCAGGCAAAGTGGCTGATGTGATGGCCTCACTGGTGCCACAGTGGCTTCACTTTCCTTCCCATCAACACCATCCTGTGGTCCTGTGTGTGCCCTTTTACCTGAGTCTCTCAAGGTCTCCTCTGTCATTCCATCTCCTCCATAGCCATATTTTAGGTCAAAGTGGAAAACCGGAAACTCAGAGAGAAGGAACTCTCCCTAGGCCTCTGGACAGCAAGGTAAGAAAAGGAACTCTTTGCCCATGCATCTTTCCCTTCCATTCCCCAAATGCCCCCTTTTGGGGCCCTGCAGGATTGGTTTCTTCCAACGAGTGACCATGGTCTATGCCCTCTGGCCCACAACCACAGCTTCAGGGCTCAGCATCCTTTCCACGCCAAGCCAGCCACCTGGCCAAGCCCACTCTGTCTCTGCCCACTGCAGCGCCCTCCCCCAGGCAGCCCGTGTCATGCCAGAGCCCAGCCTGGCCGCTGCGTTCCCAGGAAGCATCCACCAACACCTCTCATGGGAAGGGTCCTTCACCATCTCCACTCTATAACTCCACACCCCAGGGCAGCACCTCTCTCGTAGAAAACACGTTACATGATTCGGGGGATTTAGAACTCCTTTTGGGTTATGAGAATCCCAGTAGCAGACAGAGCAGAGGTGAAAGACCTCGGGTTCTCCATCTCCAGCACATCTCCTGCCCACACAGCACTCACAGTTCACCTTTTCTGAAGGATCGCCGAGCCTGGGTACTGCAGAGCAGAACACAGCATACAAAGCTGTATCCCTGGCCTCTAAGGCAGGGTGGCATTTAGAGGGGCCTGGTAGAGGAGGCTTGCTCAGGGCATGGCAGGCAGGAAGCAGGGAGAGAGATCAGGGAGGAGGAGGGATACAGACCCTGCAAGCCATGCCCACAGTGACCTACCTCTTCCAACCAGGCTTCACTTCCAAAATCACATTTTGCTATAAACTCATCAGTGGACTAACCCTCCGATAAGCATCATACTTCCATGATCCAATCATCTCCCAAAAGCCCCACCTATGAGTGAATGAGGCTTTGGGGAGACATCCAGATGTAAACCATAACATGGAGAATATAAGACAGAGCCTTGTATTACTTCTGAGTAAGGTTGTTATTGTATCTGGGGGTGCCATCATCTCTCACCCTTCCTCTTTGATGATTTTGGATGCAGTCTCAGGATGGGCCTGGATTGTTGAGTCACCACTTGGAGAAAAACCTCCCCAAACAGCCCAGCCAACCCAGAAGCACTTCAGGGGACTTAGGGGAAGAAACCAACTTTCATCAGGTTAAGTCACTGAAATTTTCCCTGACCAAAACAGATGAACGTAGGATGGAGTCCTATCTCTGTCACTTGCCAGCTGTGTGGTGTTAGGAAGATGACTTACCCTTCCTGGGTTCTGGAGTCTCTACCCATGGGAAAGAGTGAAGAGAGCCCAATGTTGTAGTATGGTTGTGGGGACTAAATAGGATGTTTCTTATGTGCCTGGGATGTTGTGGAAACCAAATATTTTCTGTGTGTGTGTGTGTGTGTGTACGTGTGCACTCCTATACAGTAGCTTCATGTGTGTTAATCTTGCTCCTGGATTGTAGATTCCTTGAGGCAAGGTTGTAGACCTTTTCTATTTACCATAAAGACCACCACAGTGTGAAGCTCGCAGAATGTCTCAATAACTATTTGCTAAGAAGAAAAAAAACTTTTGTTGAAAGATAAGCAAAACAAACTTCCTCAGCTGTCCCTTTATGACACCCCATACACCCAGGACTCCCACCACTCACTCCCTCACACATTTTTAATCTCTCCCACCTTCTCCCATTGGTGCAGTCTCTCCTTGGCTTCCCACTGACCAACTCTTCGTTTTTTATTGTCCATAATCAAGTTTATTTTTCTATTACTCCATGTTTGCAGTACCTAATGTTTATGTTTCCTGTGTGGAGTTGGTTGATGCATGTAACACATTTCGATTCCTCTTTTCATCTTGCTTCCCTCCCCTCCCTCCACCTCTTGGACCCCTTCCCATTTGAGAGACATCTCTCTCCTACTTCCTATGATCTGTGATGTTGAGCATTTCTCCATGTATTTATCTGACCCACCCTTCTAAAGGGCATTTTTGTGTATACTTGTGCTCATTATGTGAGTAAATGGGTGTATCTATTTGGATAAAAGAACTTTTGTGGTTTGTTACAAATGGAGCAGAGGCAGACTCGGAAGGGAGGGGTTGGATTATTGAGCTCTCTGGAAATGGATGGTGAGGAAGCCATGCCGGAGGTGACCTTATTTCATATTTTTTATAAACAAGCTGCAGACATGAGCTGTGTGATGAAATCTCTGAGTTGGAAGATGTCACCAAGCCCTCCTGCCCAGTATAAAATATCAAGTTGATGAGGACCAACCATCTCATCAGATTGCTATGTTGAAATTTCGGGCATTGTGTCAATGTGTTTTTAAAAAAAGGACAGATATTTAAAAAATAAAAGCAATGAAAAATGATGGATTACCTGAGGTCATCTTAAGCCAGCAGAGTTTAGCTAATCTTAAAAAAAACACAAAAAACACCTGACTCTGTCCTTTGCTGTTGAAGAGGCATTTGAGCCCCTCTTCAATCTGTTCATTTTGACCTGCTTTTTGCATATTTTTGCATATATTTCCTCACCTCTCTGACTGAAGTGAGCACCAAGGCATATTCTGATGATAGTAGATGGATAAATGCCCAACCAATCAGAATCAAAACTTCTTGCATAAAAGTCCATTGAAAAAACTTTGTAATGTATGGACTTCATTTTAAAAGGGGATATATACATAAGACACACAAATTCACACACACCATCAGGGAACACAACAACTACAATTGGAGTAGAGCATCTAAAAAGAATTTCTTTACATGGAAGGAGATTCCTTTAGGGTCAGCTAAAATTTTACAAACAACATATATACATTTGGTACACATTCTGGTATTTCCTTGAAATTTGGGGCCTTTGAACATATTTGGTGTGAGTTGAGATTTTTTTTTCTTTCACAAAACACATGCATGGTTTAATGACTGATCATTGGCAGCCACACCTAAGTCAAAACATAGATCTTTCTTTGTCAGAGCCCTAGGAAGTTCTACTCATGTGCTCAATCCATATCTCAAATACATCCATCCTCCCCAAATTAACTACTTTCCTAGCTTTTACAGTAATAATCACTCTTTCACAGGTCTATCAAATAAGTGTGCATTCCTAAGCATCATCGTCTGGTTTTGCCCATTTTGTTAAATCTCATACGTGTTTAAGTCTCTTTAATCCACAGGCTTCTCAACTATCCTTGTGTTTTGTCTTATAGTTTATTTGTTCAAGGACTTGGGACAATTGATCTGCCGACTTCCCCCAGTCCAGATGTGACAGACTGGCCCGGTCCAGTTCAGTATGCACACTGGGGATACTGAGTCACAGCAGGCTGGGAGGTGCAGTCCCCAGTCCCAAACCGATCACAGGCCAGAGGCCCCAGGGACCACAGACAGAGAACAAGTCTACCAGGGTCCCAGGACTCGGGGAGGGGCCTGAGGCTGCACTAAGCGAGTGTGGGATGGGGCCCTCAAGGGGGGACACTTAACAGCAACACCACACCCACCCTGGGAACTGTGATGCTGTTTGAGAAGCTCAGACTGCACGCAAACCGTGAGCCAGCCGCCTGCTTATGTAAGCTGAGGTTTGTGGGTGCAGTGTGGGCACCTAGTGGGTATTAGATGTGCAGAGTCTCAGGCACTAGCCAAACTTCCAATAAAACCCAGGTGTTAGCAAGCTCAGGCTGATGTGCTCCCCCTGTGTGTCTGGAAGCCTTGCCCCGGGAGCTGAGGGGGCGGGCCTGGGTGGCACGGGGCTGCCCTGGGCAGGCTGGGAATTTGGTGCCCTCCAACTGCATACTCATTACACATCCATTATTTATCACTAAGGACAGGGAGAGATTATAGTGTATCGATTCAAATTCAACACAGAGAATTTATTGCATGCATGTAACGTAACACAATTTACTTGGGATGACTTTTTACATCACATCTTTTCAATCACCTAAAATTGTGCAGTGTTAATTTCTCTTATTCAAAATGTATTTTAAAATCCCTCTTTCAGACTCTCATAAAGCATCCAAGTAAACTATTCTTTAGCTCTTGCTTTGTCTTTTTGTTTGAGATTATCCTTACCTGAAAACTCCTTAGGAGCCTTGCTTTTTATTTATTTATTGGTTTTTTGAGACAGGGTCTTACTATGAAGTTCAGTCTGGCTTTGAACTCACTATGTAGCTCAGGATGACCTCAAACTCACAGCAATCCTCCTGCCTCAGCCTCCCAAATGCTGGGATTGTAGGTGTGTATCATCTCGCCCAGCTTGGGAGGCACATTTAAGGTTTAAAATTTAGATGACAGAATGCATCACCTGTAGCTGGCTGTAATTTCAACATTTCAGGATCAGCTCCCCAGAGCTGGAATTCGGGCTGGCAGGCTGCTTACGGCCTGGCTCCATTTCCAAGCATGCAGCTTGTGCATTCTTAGCAGACCCTGACGGCTTCTGAGAAAGGATATTTCTTTTCATTCCAGTGGCCATGGAGGGTACATTTGGGCATTAAGGGGAGCATCAGGACATGCCCATCTGCCTGTCTTTCACAGGGCTCTGTGAAAGAAACTCGGTGAGCATCTTAGTTCTACCATAAATTTCATGGAAATGTCTAAAATACCTTTCTTTGACACAGTATTTGTAGCTCCCTAATTTAAGAACCACAGGCTTAAAATTCCAGTATCAACATTTAAAATTTATTTTATGTATGATCTTCTCTTGCATTTGTGGAATCAGAAATACTCTACAAGAGATTTTAGTTATAATTTTTAATAGGACTTGTCTCGGACACGGTGAATAGTAACTTAATGAGTTCTAGCTACATAACATACTTTGGATTTCAGGGTAGACTTCATTGAGACTTAGGGGTCTAACTCTAAAAATAGGCTCAGCATGAAAATCACCCATGTCTGCACAAATCACTGTGGCATTATGTGCAGGAGATAAGAAACAATGGCCCTCCGAATTTTAACTCATCAAGGTCTAGACAGAGGGCCTTGAATGAGTTTCTCCCCTCCAGTACCCTGCTTCCTGCCTCCTGCTGCCTGGAACTGAAGCCTGAAGTCACATACCCTGTGGCTCCCTTCAAGCGCCTGCAAAGCCTGATCGTGTCCCCACTGAGGTACTAATGAATGCCCTGCTCTGCACTCTTATCTTCAGGTTCCGGTGAGGTAGGAACCGGGCTTCACTCATAGTTGTCCCTAGAGCATCATGCAGGGGCATAATGCAGGTGCTCATAGAACGCTTGCAGCTCGGAAGGGAGGGGAGGGGAGGGGAGGGGAGGAGAGAGAGAGAGAGAGAGAGAGAGAGAGAGAGAGAGAGAGAGGGAACTTCTGCAGGAATATCTTTACGATTTCACTTCTCCGGGTGTCATCCATTGTTATTTCCACTAAGCGCCTACTGTGTGCTGAGCGCCCAGCCAAGTGACAGACCTGATGACAAAGCAGGCCCTCTCCTGGCCACCAGAGGCCTCTCTAGTGAGGAAAGCAGAGGCAGGGCACAGGGGTTTTGCTTGGTTGGGGGGACCAGTGGAGATTTCCTTGGGAGAGCACAGCTCTCCTCCTCAGCTTCTCCTAGTTCCTGGAAGGCAAAGAGGAGCCTGGATTATGAATGGCCAACGAGCTTTGTAGCTTCACAGCCCATATTTGCTTCCTGCACCTGATGTTAGTGGAGCTGAGGTTTATGGTGCCACCGCAGCCTCTTCAAGGGAGAGAGGTTAGGCGGCCCCCGGACTCGGCACAAGGAAGGTTCTATCATTCCAGGATGGGGTGGGGAACCAGAGGGACGGGGACATCCTGGTGAAGTATTAGGGCTAGAAAAGGCACAGTGGGCAGGAACTGCACTGTGAGTTCACAGGGACAATGTGATTTTTACGCCCTCTTCAGGCACTGTCCTCTGCCACACCCTGGACTGCAGCATGGCCACCTCTGATGCCCTGCGGGCTGGGCACTTGGCCAGGCCCTCTGCAATGGCCAGCTCGAGCTCCCTTGAGCTTTCTCTGCAGCCCCTGGGAAGCTCAAACTCTGGAAACCAAGAATCACGGACCCTGGGGAAACACCCTTCAGCCAGTGAGAGCATCCGCCCCAGAACAGTGTCCCAGCAGCTGGGAGGCCGGTGTGGAGGACAGGTGGGCTGGATCTGGGGCCGCAGTGCTCCGACTCCCTCACCGGAGGTGCCCGCTGTCTGCGACCCACCTGCTTCAGCCTGTCACCAAAAGTACAGGAGGCAGCTGGGCTCGGGAGGAGCATGGCACCCACCCGTGGCCTGGTCGCCTCGTGATCAGGAGGCTGTCCTACTCTGGGGAGGTGCAGTTCACTCACGGCCTGGACAGGTTCATCTTGATGGGACAGAAGACAGAAAGGCTGAAAAGTGCCTCATGCTGATTCCACGGAGTTGCAGAAATATACAGACACAAAACAAGCCAGCCTGCGACTGTGGCATACTGTGGTCCCATTCATCTTGCTTGACAGGGCTGGCATTCTCCGGAGCAGGGCTGTTGAGCTCACCATGTAGACATGAGCACACGGGGCTGTGACCTTTCTGTCCACGTCTACTAGGGCCGATGGGACGTGCGATTAGCATCAGGATGTTTTCAAAAGTCTTCATTTCCAGAAGAAAGAAGTATAATCATTCAGATTTGATTTAATTCTCCCCAAGGGAGTATTTTACGGTGAAAAGGAAACAGATCTCTTCTTATTTTTGCAACCCCTAGCGCAGCTGCAAAGATCACATCAGGTGGGACGCGGGGGTTAGGCAGGGACTGCTGAGCGGAGAAGCACCCTCTGCTGAAGGATTCTGCCTCAGTGATGCTTAACTTCCAACCCAAGCTCTGGGTTCCAGAAGTACTTAGAAGACTCAGTGCCTTCTAGCTGTCTCTAGAACCAAACCCCGAGGGGGAAAGGGGAACACAGAGGGTAAGGATGGATTCGTGTGTGAGACGCTAATAGTCCCAGAGACCAAAAATAGCCTCGAATTGTGAACGGCAGGTAGAACCAGCTGCAAATCATAGCCACTTACCTGCGAGGATGCACCTGCCGCTGCTTGACAAGAACAGTGACACTCACTCCACTGGGAGAGGTCATATTCAAGGGTGGACCAAGGAGGCAGCCTACCTCCTCGTGAGGTTTCCGACGTCGCTTACCAAAAACCTGGATCCTTTGGGAGTTACCTGAAGTACAGATTTTGTGATATTGATATATATCAGGCCAGGTCCTGCCAAATCTACATCAGGTGTAAAATGTACAACTTGTGTTTATGCAGACATTTGTAAGAACATCAGAAACCCTCCACCAAGACCTCATCCTGTAAATGAATCCAGTCACAGACATGCATGGGAATGTGGAAAACCAAATTCACAGCCTTACTACTTTTCTCTCACCCTAAAAGTCAAAATAATACTGAGAATAATTTCCTAACTCATACATAGTGGGGTTGAAAAAAGACTCATACTGGGTTTGAACAAAGTTTAACAAAGTAAATTGGATTTGTCCCCCTGCAAATGATACCTAAAATGGGAAAAGATTTAATGACTTTCTTCAATTATGTATACGAAAACTAATCTAGCAGTAATGATCTTTTAGCATTAAACACAATGTCCTTAAACCACTAAATAATTTTATTTCTAATATATCTCTAAAAGCTCTCATTAAAGCCAGAATAAAATACATGCTGTGGACCAAGCTGACTATAACGATAAAACCCCTACCAGTTTATAGGTATATAACTTTTAAGTATACTAATGCAGTTTCAACCGAATTGTCCTTTATTTTGGGTCATCTAATTTACAAACATGATTTCTGAAGCTGAACAGTATTTGTAATGGCAAAGTCCAAAGCAATTCTGGCTGAGTGAAGTGTTATTTGTTGAACAAAAATGCAGTTGTTTGTGCAAATTTAAACATTTCACAAGGCCAGCTGAGTTTATTTCAACCTTACTTACAAAATAATCATCAGCAAATAAAATGGGCTGAGGGTAGAGACAAGGTATTTTCAAGCTCCCGAGAGGCTTACAAAACCAAAACGCTTTGACTACTGAAAGTCAAATGGAAGGGTCACAGACAAAGGAAAAGTACAGGTTGAAATCTCAGGATTAGAAACGGTTTTGACAAGAGGAATATTTGCTGTGGAACAATGAGGAAAATGTTGTGTTACCATCTGAAACATGGAAAATATGCTGTTCAAGATTGTTGGCTCTGGAATAAATAAAATCCAGACTTCAACTATTAAAAATATCAAAGTGATCCACTGTGTGCCAACTCCATTTTCTTCTGTTGTTTGTTACTTAAAAAATCCATTATTGAACACAGTAGAGTTCTGGTGAAATTATCAAAGACATTTTCCATATGAAAACTGTAGTCTACCACATGCTACTACGTATTCTTCGCTAACAATTTTAATACACTTCTATTACACAACTGTGGGAGCATTTAAAAGGAAATTTTGAGTCATATTTTAACCTTCTATGTAAGTCACAAATCCCTTCCATTTTAGTAATTCCACTCATCTCTGCTGAGTTCTTATTATGAGCAAGGTATTTTGGATGGTGAAAGATACAAATCAATCTATCAATCAATCAGTCTTTAAGGTGTCCACGGCCTGTTAGGTGGAAGAAAGTATCTTTGTCCAGGAGGTCATTAAGCCTAGAGTGAAATGTGTCCAGCGAAGGACATTGGGGAGAAACCCACCCTCTCAACCTGGAGCTCTGTAAGTAGGAAGTTGAGTGTTAAACCAAGGATTCCATCACCGGACCCCAGTTTGGTTCTAGAACAATGCAGAACATGCCTGTTCCATTTTCTTCGACTGAACTCTTGAGAGAGTTCCAGAAGACGCACCTGTAGAGTTCTCCTCACACTTTCATGCAACAACTGTAATCCACCTTTCATTCCTTCACTAGCATAAAACACTTTGCTGCCCTTAGGGATTTAAGAAATCATCTCCTATTAACGGAATGCGCTTAATTGTGAAATATTCAATATTGCACTTAAAATAAAACAGCATTTTCAAATTTGAACATTTAGAAACCAAGAGTCCTAACATTCAACTGGCTTCAATGTGACCTTAGCCCTTTGTAATTAGGCTAGGAGAGACCAACAACAGATGTCTAGGGGAAAAAGACAGAACAGCTCAGCCTGGCCAACCAACACTGTGATTTGAGGGAAAGGGGCGTAAATCTTCTACAGTGAAATTCAAGTGCTCTGAGACAATGATAACTTCATGTCTGCAAGTATTTAAAACTGGGAGTTTAGGGGTCGGGGATTTAGCTCAGTGGTTTCACCGCCTGCTGCACAAGCACAAAGACCCGCGTTCGATCCCCAGTACCAAAAAAAGGCTGGGAGTTTAAAAATCGCAGGCTTAAGTTAGGTCAGGTTTCAGAAATGATGCCACACTGTGAATTTCTTCCTGGTCACTCAGCTCAGGGCTCTCTCTAACGCCTGCAGCAATGGACTGACTCCAGAATGTTCTATTTTCTTCCAGTGAGGTCACATGACTGCACCCTCGTAAGCCACAAATAACAGACCAGGATTTCAATTGTGGAGACTTTAGCCTCCAGAAAGGACCCTCCAACCCCAAATCCGTACAAGAACACAAAGTCAAGGGGCAAACTAAAAAAAGGAAGAGATTGTTTTATTGTGACATTTATGACATGGACCCCTTATTGACAGGAACGAGCGAGACTGACTGGCATATTGCACGGGCTGTGACGAAGAAGCCCACGGAAATCCTCCGGCTTTGGAAGCTGTTTCCCGGTGCTCCTCGACTCCACTGCACACGCGGGCCAGTCACAGAAATCCCACTGCCACTTGGTGTAGACAGTTAACAAGTCTTTGGTCTTAATAAGCACCATACAAACCCTCACATTAAGGGCATTATTATTCTCGTTTATAAATGTTTCAATGATAAAAAATAGCACGGTTACAGTATACACACACTTAATTTACATGTAATGTATTATACTCATAACTGAGATAAGCTACTGAACTAACTTTGGTTGATTGAAATGAATGAAGTATTTGAACTGAGTACTTGTAATTTGGTTTCTTAGTTGTGTAAATAATACAGTGCATTTTATAAATCTAGTTTGGAAATTTACTAGCACCAAATAGATATTATGAACAGCCGACCTAGTACTTGTATTTGGAAAAGCGAAGTTTCAAAATTTGAAAAAAAATAGAATAGTCCTTCAAATGGAACCACATTCCAGTAGGTGTGCGGGCAGGAGGGTGTGCTTGGCACAGATGGCAACCCCAGTGCATGGCTGCATCCCCCTTCAAGAACCAACCCAGGTGACCCCGTAGCTTCACTACACAAGAAGTCTGAGAGAGTGGTTGTCTGAACTAGGGTAACCGCCTGTACCTCGCTTTTGTAAGACAAGACTAGTGCTTATTTATACAAATTTACTTGATGAGAGATTGTACCTATGATATGAAGACTCTGACTGGGGGGAAAATAAAATTCTACCTATCTAGAGTTGTTTTTCTCTGAAAGATTTGGTCTCTGAGTGGTGAATTAATGAAGCAAGATCTGAATTTTCATCTTCAGATTGTCACCCAGTTCCCCACTGAGGTAGTCTTTGTCATAGTTGTCTTCTAGCTGGTTGAGTTCTTGCTTTCTATAAAGCGGAGTACTACTGATTTGTAATGAGTAGCTTCCAGCCACGGGCTTCTTCTTTGTGAAGTGGAGGTAGCTGATCCCTTCCTTTTTGTTGATTCTGAAGAAGCCATCTTCATTTCCAGATTCAATCAAGTATCTGTTGTGATTCGCCAGCGTCGTCAGGGCGGGGAGGAGTTCTAGGATTCGGACCTTGTTACTGATGAGGGAAATGTTGAAAGCGAAGGTGGCTGGTTTCTCCACATCCCAACTTGCCAGACTCACACTGGCTTCCGGCTCCGACCCATCCTGGAGAGACATAGGACAGCGTGTTAAATGCAGTCCAGATGTACCACTCAGCCCTCCTCCTACTCAAGGAAAAGGGGTTCAAATCTCGCACTCCCACAGCTGAAAAGGCATGTTCATCATGCACTTTGTGCAAACCACAGTGTGTTCAACTGGCATGCGTGTGAAACATTAAAAAATATTAAACCGATGTCAGGAAGGAAGTCAGGGTGAAATCACTTGTCTCTGGTGGTCCTGTACCGCGAGTCTCAAAGCGTGGTCCCTGAGCCAGCAACCTCTCAAGGCACCTATTAGACCTGCAAATTCTCAGCTCCTGCTGAGACGCAGACCTGCGGGGTCAGGATCCAGGGTGTCTCCCACCACCCACCTCCCAGCGCCTTCCAGGGGATTCACATGCGCACTTGAGTTTGAGAACCGCTGTCGCTGTTCTAATAGATGATTTGCTTTCCAAAGACTTATCTCATTTCCCAAGGCACAGCAGGTGGCTTGTAGCACGTACATTAACAACTGGTCTATTTCAATTTTGTTCACTGACTCAAAACCATGCCCTCCCAGGACACACCTAGGAGCTACTTCCTGCCTGATGATCTTCGAAGAGTCAGTGCTTTTCACCTGGCTTCCTGCTTGCCTCTCGGGGCCACAGGTGCCGGATTCTCCAGGCCGGGAGCCAACGCCCGGGTCGAGTATCTGTGCACTTCCCAGCTTTCTGAGAGGCTGCGGCAGCCTCTCTGCAAGTGGAGCAAACCAGGCTGCTTCAGCCCCGTGTTGATTTTGTCTTGAGTCCAAGTTCCCTCAAGCTCCACATGGTTCTTTTCAGCAGATGAGCTGCTAGCTCTCAGAACTTGGGGTCCCCATGGAGGGAGCACTATGTCACCCTTCTACTCCGCCTATTCGCTCTCCTGGACCTCAGGCCCTGTCCTTTCAGCAGACTCTGGGTGGGTGTTGGACTTTCTTTATGGCAAGACAGAGGAAATGAGTGAGCGTGTGAAAACCTTCAAGTGGCCACTCCCTAAAAGAGGCAAGAAACTCCGGGAAGCCCCAGGGTCTCTTGTGAAAAGCAGCCTAGAGCTTGGGGAATATCTGGGTTTTCTCCCTGGGGAGGTGTCTCACAGTTGGGGAACCTCCTTAGGAAACCACAGACCGACCTACCTCAACTTCAGAGGCCTTGGTTTCATTTGTGCTTCTCCGCTTCCTGCCCCGCTTAGGGTAGCCATTGATCTTGCACTCGTAGCAAGCTTCTGGGGACAGGGAGTTGTCATCCATTTCACCACTGACCGGTGGTTCTGGGCCCCCGCGGCCCATGCCCATCCCTGAAACGCAGTGCCTGTGGAAGACGAGGAGGACAGATGGTTTCCATCTGAAGCAGGAGGCAGGGGAGTGGTTCGGGGAAGCCTGGCCCATCCCAGTGACATCCAACCCAGACTGTTTGGCCACCAGATGATCTCCTGGTTCTGAGAACCACACCGAGGTCCTCTGTGTTCCCAGTCCCCCGTTTACTGATTTCTTTCCATTCTCTCTCCTTTTCAAGACCATTTTGTATACCGTGTTTCTTTGTCCTCTCATTTCCCAAACCTACCAGGGCTGGCATTTGGCAGTACTTACAACGGGGAAGGAACACAGAGTAGAAACCAAAGGAGAACCGGAGCTGAGGGAGACTGGGATATGGCAAATTAAATACAAAATATCTACTTAGGAATCAGACTCTGTAGGAGTGAGAAAGTCTCCTCCTGCCTGCCCCTTCAGGTCATAGTAAGAACTGCACAAATGGGCCATGCTGGCCACCATGTTTATTCTGCATTCTCAACTTTGACCTTTAACTCTGCCTCCACACCATGCTGCCCCCTGCTGGCTCAAGAAGGTTGCTCCAAGTACAAGGCGTCCCTCCTTAGTGCTCAGCGCCACTCATTCACTGTCTACTTTCTTGTCACCTTTCACTCTTACCACCACTCTTCCTTAGTAGGCTTCGAGCAATCACTTCTATTCTTCCACCCCTTCCATTGCTGCTGATGCTACTGCAGACAGGAGGACAGAACTAGCTGATAACTAGGGGCCGATGTGGTAATAAACTGAAGATGCGCCACACACACTCACACACACCACATGCACTGCTATATAAAGCGTCTCTCGCAGCATGCCCAACTGTGGGAAATTGTTTCAAGTCATTCAAAACCACTAGGGCCATTGGCTTTGGCTCATGTGAAGCCGTATAAACAAACTTGGGCCCAAGAGAGATCTAGATCAGCTGTTTTTCTTTGCTTTTCAGTCATCAAAGCCAAGTTATGAAGCAAGGTTTGCATGTTTCTCAGTACCTTGTTTTGTTGCTCTATTTACTACTTCAAAAGCCACTTGGGTATTTACTGGGTTCCTCTTCAAAATGTGTTGAAACATTTGGATGGTCCTAAAAAATCTTTATCTTAATGTCCACTCTATCGATTTGAAGAGAGGCCAAGGCTTGTATAAACGGGTAGACTTCTACTACTGTGGCACACTGTGTACCAGATATTGTTTATCTGCTCTTCTGTAATAGTTACCCTGCTCTTTCTAATGTATTTTTCTGTACGCCCCTAGGATTTAAAAGACAACTGCAATCAGAGGTTCCTACTATTTTCCCCAATCTTACTAGATTCCAGCACATTACCTTTCGTCTTTATCTTGCAACATGAAATGTGTAGAGGCAAAAAAACTGATAAGGTAATAAATGCTCATCCTGTGTGCGTGTGTCACACCCATACGATGATTAAATTACACAGAAGTAGGGCCCAAATTCACAGGCTTTGGTTCCTTTCTCAGAACTTCTTTCCAATATTTTCATATCCCAGGGGCACCACTTATAAGAAATGTGACTACAAAAATCCCACTGGCCAACAGCCATTTTGGAGTGTCACAATTTTTGCTGGGAAACATGGTTCTGGCCTCAGCTGTAAACAGACGCAAACATCTGGGAACTGGTTTCCTATTCTGTGCTGGCACCATGCGCGCTTCCCATGTGCTGTTCTTTACCTCCCAGTCGACACAGACCCCAAATGAATCATTGGATGCTTACAGGTCAAGGACTGTAAGGCCACTCAATTGATATGTGTCACAAATGTGTAAGTGCATGTGAATACGTGACTGTATGTGAGTGGGCGTGCACAGAAACACACACACGTACTAAATGTCTCTGTATTTCTAATTAAAAGGTTAAAAAATTCACATCCTTCACAGGATAGCTAAAACTTCACAGATACTACCTTTAGGTTAATTCAGCATGGAAACTTACCACTAAACCTTTAAATTGTTGAGAAAAAATATACCTTCTTTGCCTCAACTCTATACACTGTACATATATAAAATCTGGTGCAATTTTCTACCTGGGAAATACAGTAAGGACTTTGACTCAAGGTTAATGGTCTTTTGGTAATTTTTTAATGTAAATTCAAGTCTGAAGTGTAAAATAGACTCTAAAACCCTAAAAGGCTCCACCAAGAATGTGCTGCTGCTTGACTGATCCTAAGGACAGCTAGACAAGAAGGCATCTCAAGCCAAGAGTGAATCCTGTCCACCCCCGAAGTGGGGTCCAGGAGTGTGTGGGTGACCCCAGCTCTGCCCTCGGTTGGCAGGGAGATGAGCTCATGGACAGGCCCATCTATTCCCCGTAAGACTTGACGATCCAAAGAATGAGGTGGAGAAGCTACACAATGAGATGCTGAAAACACAGTTTCATTATTTCATTTCATGTTCTGTGGATTTCCAGAAATCCAGATGCCCCTTTACAAATAAAATAACCGAAACTTTTGCAAAGCTAACTGGAATTAATTCAAGGGTTACGAAGAGCACGGCGAGGTGACTTTGATGCAACACGCTTATCAGTTATACAGTAGTGGCACTCACCCTTGTCCAATCCGGAAGTAGCCTGGGGGACAGCCACACAGGTAGCCGCCCTCCGTGTTGGAGCAGCCGTAGCTGCAGGGGGCCTGCGAGGAGCCGCACTCGTTGATGTCCTGGCATCCGCCGCTGAACTGCTCGTACTGGAAGCCGGCCGGACACATGCACTTGTAGCTCCCCAGGGTGTTGTGACAGGAGGCTCCTCCGCAGATGTGTGCACTGAGACACTCATTCTCATCTGCGAGGAGACAGAAGACACGGCTGTGTGACACACATGGAGATTTCTAATGAGAAGTCTTCTCGTCAGGCCGCTCTGGTTGGCCATTTGGCCCATGGCCTGCTGCCAGGAGGGAAGACAGGCAGAGGTGGCCGGCATGGAGAGGCAGATGTGGAGACAGATGTGACCCCCGGTCGTGCTGTGACTAAGTGGGGCAGACGAGGTCAAGGGCACCAGTGGAAGGCAGTGAGGGTGGTGGTCTGGGGCCAGCAGACTCTGGACCACGAGGAAGCCATCCCCACTATGTGCTGTCCTACACCGTAAAGAACACAGGTAGGAGAGAAAGAATCACACTGCTCCCCACGCCTTTGCTTCCCCATGCCCAGCTATGGGCCACAATCTCTACAGCAGAGAGTGACCATTTCCCTGGGCTGCTCTCTCCCTCCCTCCACCTGTCTCCTCCTGCAGGAAGTATCTGCCCCATTCGACTTCCTGTTCCAAAACCTGCAGAAGCCCCCAGTGCTCACTGTTGGGGTGAATAGTACCTTCTGGTGTGTCCCTCCCACTCGGAGCTCCTCCCGCCCGGATCCAAACCAGCCTCCCGCCCAGCACGGTGGAGATGTGGCTGTAGTTCAGCTCAGAGACTTCTCAAGCCACACTTGGGAGAAACCTGAGAGAGAGTCAGAGCTGCAGGACTGGCTGCCCACAGGCACCTGCCAAGTCTGCTGGGAAGAAGTAGGAAAAAGAGATCTAGCTTTAAAACATCAACTCGAAGGGAAAAAACTGTGTCTCATTATTTTCAATTTGTGAAGTCCCTGATATATTTTTGTGGGCCTGTCTTGTAGGGCAGGTTGGAAACTTGCTGGTTAGATGTTTCTTCATGGCTACCGATCATGTTCGAGCACACGTTTAACACACTGCACTGCATGAATACCTACTTCCTGTGGACACAGGAAGGGGACTGACTACGGCCCGAGGAGACAGTGGTAGAGTCTCAGCTTACAAGGAAGAAATTGACATTTGGGACACACGCAGGACTTCTCAGCCAGTCTAACCCACTGCAGAGCTCTCCAGATGCCCTCGTCGCAACTGGTGCTTCCCTTCTCCTGCTGTTAGTTTTACCTCCTTTGCAAAGGCAGATTTATCAAGAAAAAAATTGGTTCTAAAAGTAAATCTATCATTTACTATTATTATTTGAAGCTAGAAAATAGGGATGGATGCTTGCATACATGTATTATATATAATATATATTATTCATTATCCACAGTTCCATTCTTTCCTTCCTCCCCTCCTGCCTTCCAGCTACAGGTATAGGAGCTTAGCTGTCTGCATGTCCTCTACAATGTAGGACTCAAGCCCCCCCAAGGTCATTACGCCAAAGGGTTCCTGAAATAGAAATAATGCAATATGGCCCCATCTGGGCTCTTTCCCCCTCGTTTGAATTAGGAATGAGGCATGAGATGGAGACAACATGCACCAAGCCTTCTAGGACACACAGAGAAGGAAGAGCGAGGGTGTTTCCCTGGCTCAGGTGAATCCGCCGGGCTGATGTTTTCTTGCCTCTCATGTCCCGTCCACCCTCTGCCCCCACTCTTGGGCCCCGGAAGCGGATCTGTGTGCAGCCTGAGTAGTTTTGTGTGTCCTCTCTTTGGCTCGAGCCTGGCTGCCTATTTTCTGCTGGCAGCCTGCCTGACGCAGCCCACAGGCATGGGTAGGTGAGGGGAGACCCATCAATACAGAGCTCTGACGTCTCCTGCTTTGTGCCAAAAGGCAGAGGCCAACCAGTGGTGGGAAAGGTACAGGGAGGGAGAGTTCATCCATCACCAGAAAGACATTTTCTAAGCATTCCAGCGAGCCATGGCTGGGCTGGGCCAAACGTGCATGATCAGGGTCATGGGAGGTAGAGGAACTTCCATGTCAGGAAAGAGGTCAGACTAGATCATCTTCACCCATATTCCTATAAATACTCATTATATAGTCTTTTCTATTTTATTTTACTTTTTCCCTCCTGAGAATTTAGCAAAGTTTAAATGAAACTTGCTTATCTAGGTTGGAGAGTGGGAACAGAGTGGAGCGCAGACTGAGATAAGATGCCAGCAAACACGCAGTGCCTTGAACACGGCACTTCCTCTCCTTTTTACCCTGATTCGGTTCGCCCTCCAAACGCCCTTGTCCATCCTGTGTAGCCCGGAGCTAATGGCTCCACAAGGTTATTTTTCTACTCTCTAAAATGTTTTGTTTTATTCTTTCATCTGGTATTTTCATTGCTGAGAGGTTTGCTCTTTGCATACAAGAGACAATTCTAATTTTCTTGAAAAAGTCTCTGAAAACCACTTCTTAAAAGCAGTTGGAGAACCGGGGATTTAGCTCAGCAGCATAGTGCCTGCCTGGCAAGTGTGAGGTCCTGAGTTCCCCCCTGTACCAAAAAATTCTCATAGCGAATCAAGCTATATGAGAAATAATGTGGGGTTTTTTTTTTGCAATACTGGAGATTGAACCTAGCGCCCTTCACACTGAGCTACATCCCCATCAATTTTTTAAAAATTTGAGACAGGTTCTTGCTAAGTACTAAGTTGCTCAGGTGGGGCTTGAACTTGCAACCCTTCTGCCTCAACCTCCCAGAGTACTAGGATTACAGGCTAGTGCCACCACACCTGGCTGAGAGGCCATGTTGGTAAAAGGAAATACACTGAAGGTGTCTTCACTTGGAGTAAAGCACACCACTGCCATGAGGGGGATCCACCCAGGAAGGAGCGATTCTTTGAGTTTCCACTAAGGTGGGCTCTGCGCCAAGGAATATGGAGCTAGAACAGGTCACCCCAAGCACCAAGCCTTCAGCCACCCTCCCTGGATGGTGGCTGAGTGGAGAGACTGAGAGCAGTGCTTGAAAGGCAGTCCTCAATCGGAGGCGAAGGGCCTTTCGTTCTGACCCCACGCAGGTCACAAGAAAACCAAAGACATGCTCTCTTCCTTCCCTGGGACTCTGGGTCCTCATTAGGGAAACAAAGGTCTCTTGGGTCCTTCCAAACTTCCGATGTTTTGATTCTCTGATGTGCACTAAGAGTTATTTTCCCAAGACAATGTGGAATCTAAGACATTGTGGTATCATTTCAACTTAATGAGAGTCTGCTAATCTCCCTTAATTATCAAAAGAGTTTACCAATCTGTGTCTTCAGGCCAAAATCGTTCAAAACAGCCTCTGGATGGCTATTTTTTACTGAGAAGTAGAATTGTGTTGGCCCCAGATGTGAAGGGAACTCAAGTGTAGGCCAATGACCAGGAACCTAGCAGAAGAGCAGAGGCATCAGGAGGCAAGGAACTGTGAGGACATTTCACTCCAGGTGCTCTCAAAGCATCCTTTAGTCCAGTTTTTTTCTTTGTTATTTTGCAAAGACTGACTTCCCTTTGGTTTTAACCAGGTTAGGGCAATGTTATGGTCTGGATCTAAAATGTCGCCCAAAAGTCCCGTGTGTGGAAGGCGATTGGATCATGGAGGTGTTAATATACTCATCAGTGGATTCATTCATGGGTTAGTTCATGGCTGAATGTGCTGTTAGGAGGTGGGGCCTGGCTGGAGGTGGGTCAACACAGAAGAGTGTATTCCTGTCCCCGGCTTCTTCCTCATCGCTTTCTCCTTCCTGGCCACCATGATTGAGGAGCTGTCCTCCACCAAGCCCTTCCACCATGCTATTTCTGCCTTGTAGCCAGCCTACCATGGACTAAACCCACTGAAATCATGAGCAAAAATAAACCTCTTCTTCAAGGTGCAGGTGCAGTGGAATGTGACTAAGACAGGCAACATTAAAGTATCTGCTGCCTCAATAAGCAATTTTAAGTTTTCAGAAAGAATAGTGATTCGTAGGAGCTGAGCTCAGGCCCTGCCCAAGCAAAGGAGGGAAAACACTTACCGACACACTGGTTCCACTGGTAGTGCTGCAGGTAGCCCTGCGGGCAGCTGCACCTGTAGCCTCCGATGATGTTCTGGCAGCCGTGCTGGCAGCGGTGGTTGCCTTCGCACTCATCCACGTCTGAAAAAGACAAGAGTCATCGTGAGCCCTGTCAACACCGTGCCTGAGGCACCCTCTTCAGTTCCATCTATCTGCACACTATGGTGACCAGCAATTCCAGTAAGAAATCTGATACCTAAGACTCGTTCTGCCACTCAAACTGCAAGAGCATGTACTCTGGAGCTTTTCCTAAGTCCAAGGAGGGAAAAAATCATCAAAACATTCAAAGATCCCTGGTAAATTCTACTGGTAAAAATGATATGTAAATTACTGCAAAGCACACAGCACTCTGTGAGACATTGCTATCAATTATTTGTGTTGCGTATTCACCCCAGAACTGGAAGCTAAAAGATGTCAGCGGAAAAGTAAAATCCTGAGATTATCATTTAAGTGTTTAATTATACATTTGTAGAAGACTTACTCTCACATTAGTCCACAGTGGGGACATCCTTTTACGGCCTGGACCCAGGGACCAGGAATCTAACCACTTCTCTTGACTGAGACATTCCCTATTACATTAATAACTGAGCAGAGAAATCTGGATAAACCCAGGAAAAGCACAGGGAACAGGCACATCAAGCTGGAGACCTAGGCGGATCTCTAGGGCAGGGACCCGTGCCAGCCAGGTGAGGCCCCATCTTCAGCCGGGCAAACCTGGCTCAGCCCTGACATGTCCTAGAAGATGTGGAAAATAGGGTCAGCGCCGAAACCCACCACAAGAGGAGCCCCCTGGGCACAGCCCAAGGCCCCACCCACCTTCGCAGCTGGCCCCGCTCTGGTCCAGGGAGAAGCCCCGCTGGCATTCACAGGTGAAGCTCCCAGGTGTGTTCTGGCAAATGCCTTTGGAACCGCACAGGTTGATGTCTGAGGTGCACTCATTGTTGTCTGTGAGAGGCAGAAGGAGAGAGGAGGGGACCCGGGTCCCCAGGGCTCTCTTTGTATCATTTAGAAGAAAGGGGAAGGATGACTTGGACAAGGCCAGAAAGGCTGTAGGGTCCCATGAACATGTATGCACACATATCACACATACACAGGTACACATGTGTGCGCACGCACGCACACACACACACACACACACACACACTTCTTTAATGATTCCTTTTTCTTATCCCAATGGCAAAGAGTAGGAAAGAAGCCCTTCCAGGATTCCCCTCTTCCTCTCCACTCACCAATGCAGGCCGTGTGGTGCTGGGTGAACCCGGGAGGACACTTGCACGTGAAGCCGCCGATGGTGTTCACACACAGGAACTGGCAGTTGTGCTGCTTGGTCGCACACTCGTCAAGATCTGCAAGAAGAGGTAAATGGCGCTCCAGTCAGCTGGGAACATGGGACAGCATTTTGATTAATTTGTCTTGCCTTTTCTTTTTTGTTTTGTTTTGCAGTGCTGGGGATCAAGTCCAGGGCCTTGCGCATGCTAAGCTTAAGTTTTGATTTCTAATCTGAAAGGACATTGGGCAGGACAGAGCCACAGCAGATGACCAGGAAGAGCCCAGGGGTAAGACTGACAGAGAAAGGACTCAGTTCAGACAAAAAGTAACAAAGAAAGAAAGACAGAGAGAGAGAAAGAGAGAGCAAGCAAGTGAGCAAGCAAGTAAAGGAAGGGAGGGGAGTGGAAGGAAAGAAAGAGAGAAAGAGAAAGAAGGAAGGAAGGAAGATCTTTTAGGATCTAAGGATAACCCAATTCCCTTTCATTACAGAAATGTAGGCATTGCTCAGCAAAGGAATTTCAAATAAATTCTGAAGTTTTTAGAGTTTTACAACAAAATTAAAACTGATTCTGAAATTGAATCCTGAGCATTGAAAAGATCTATTTAAGGTGAAATATTTTTAAAATGTTAATTTATTTGCTTAGTTCTTTTCTGTTTGCTGTTTTTAATCTACTCAAATGAGGTAGTTAAAAATAAATCTGACTTCTTTGGTTAGGGATTCTCCTTCAGATAAAACCAAACTGAGAAATCAGGAAGGAAACAAAGGAAAGAAAAACCTCATTCTGATAAGTTAAGAGCTCTGAAAAGCAACACCCACAGTATTTACCCAGCATTACATCTGCCAGTAAAACCCTCCACCGTACCCAGGCCTCTCTCCTCAGAGCCTCACTGTAAGGTCCTCCAAGGTATTTGAAATATGGAGACCCACAGTGTATTCTAACTTTCAGGTGAATTCTAATGACACCGTCACAATAGCTTTGTACTCAGAGATTTTTATCCCGCAGCGAGCCGCTGTGCTTGCCCTGCAGAGAGGACCGAGAGAGCTGGGACCAGGGCTGGACTTGCCAGTGACCCACTGGCGAAGGCACGGCTCTTGGGCCACTTCCAGGTCCCCTAACAGCCGGAGAGGACCGCACTTGGGAGAGGTTCCCCGAGCCGCCCCAGTGCTGATTTCTCCTAAAAGGGAGTCCATCCTGTGCTCTTCCACTGCCCAGAGGCCACACGATGTGCCTGGCTGGCTTCCTTCTCTAGGACCCTCGCTAAGCTGTTGTCACACCTTCACTGAAACTGACCCGAGACAGGAGAGCCCAGAGCGACTGTGTCACAGTCCGCATCAAGCCTGCAGCACTGGCCTCTGGCTCCCTTTCTGCCCCTTCTCTGGATCCCACCCTTCCCGCACGGGCCAGGTGCTGGTCCTCTCCCTTCTAGGGTCCCCATTCCACCCTTTTCTTCCCACTTTCAGTGGTGCATGCATCTGTACCACTCACAGTGATATTCAGTCATGTGTGCCCCAGGTGTGGAAGGAGAGAAAGAGGAGACAGGGACTGCACAGACCATGGACATGTAAAACTGTATCATTTCTTTCTGCTTTCCTAAAACCATGGAGAGAGCATTCCTGATGCTTCATGCACACCATATAAGAGCACAATGACAGCTTTTCTTTCTTTTCTTACTCTCTCCATTCCTCAATCTCCTAATTGCTAGAAACATTAAAAGATCCCCCCTCCCATGGGTTGCAAAAACATAAATTTGTTTCATTATAGACAAATTAAATATGTATACTGAAATACGAAATATACAATGAAAGATTTTTCCCCTTGAATCTGTTTCTTCATTAACATGAACAAACTTTGGGCTGCCTACTGACCACATACTGTGCTCACAGTCAGAGTCAGTTCCATGCTTGAGAAGAACGAAGCTGTGAGCAGCCCTTCATTCAGAGGGTTAGGAATTTTGATGCGGTCTCTCTACATCTTCCTCCCAAAACTAGAGGATTACTAGGGTTTGTTAGGAAAGCCGAGGGTGGTTTCCTGCTCTGCCATCCTGTTACACGCTGCTTAACACCCTCTTCTAACGGACCCTGGAAGACCCATCCTCCACCTTACTTTTCTGCTTTCCCTGTGGAAGTTTCATGGGCTTCCAGGACACTCTAACTCTTGCTAGGCCATCTGGTCTACCCTTCTTTCTCCAAATCTCTCATTTCCCAAACCAACCTTTATGTATGACTCATTCATGCAATTCCTTCAATAAGAAGTTCTCACTGTAGAGGAAGCTGTTTATAGCAGTAAGTTTACACCAAAAGAATTTCTGCAAAAGCTAACTTCTGGTTGAGGAGGCATTTCTGCCCCGAGTTGTGCTGTTTCTTTGTTCGGAGACTCCTAGAAGGTGGGAATGGAGTTATTCTACTGATCAACACTCTGGACCTAGTTTTTAATTAATTTGCAACTGTGACCTCCAGGACCAGGGCACTGATTAAACTGAGGCTGGACTTTGCTGGAGACTTGGACGAATCAAGGGTGGCACAGACAACAGAAAGCAGAGAGGAAATAAGCCATTAAGGATCAGCTTCACCAGAGCCTTGGAGAGCTGCTGTCCTTCTCTGAGGCCCTGTGGACACCCATGGGGCCTGCCATAAGGATGCCGGCTGTCACTGGTCCCCTGAAACCTCAGGACCTACTTCCGGCAGAGGCGCTAACTCCGGAAGGCATCTCCTGCTCACAGAGCGGGCTTCCTGCTGGCTTCCAGTTCCTCCCAGGAACAAGGAATGCACCGGTGTGGCAGGTGGCAGGTGGCAGGTGGCAGGTGGCAGGCGAGCAGGCAAAGGTAAGTCCTACCCTACCTTTGCAGCTCCTCCCGTCCTCTTGCAGGATGTAGCCTTTCGGGCATGAACACTGGTAACTCCCCTCTGTGTTTTTGCAGATGAAATTGCAGGGTTTGGGAGCCTGGTCGCACTCGTTGAGATCTAGGACCAAAGGGACACAGTACGATCAACTGCGCGTGTGCATCTCCAAGGTGTCGAGAGGCTCCAGAGCCACGGGACCTAGCAAAAAATTTTAGTTTGCGGGGGGCGGGGGGGGGGAACTGAGTGGAGTCTTTGATCATTGTTCTATGTTTTCCTATGAAATTACACGGGTTTTTTTAGATTTTTGAGTTTGGAGGTTTGGGCTTTTTTTTTTCCTTCTTTTTGACATAACTTACAATTTCCACTCAGGAATAGAGCACTTACCCACACAGGCAGTCCCAGTTATATCCGGAGTGTAGCCGGTTTTACAAATGCAATGATAGGAGCCTCTGTCATTGACACATTCCCCGTTTCGGCAAACATCATGAATAACCTTGCATTCATCAATATCTACAATTTAAGAAATATGTATTGCAATAAGAAACATACTCTACAATGGACATGAGCGTGTAGGGGTCATTTTGGTATAAATTCTAATGGATTGCGTTATCGTATTACGGACTAACGGACTGAAACTAAAGGGATGACAACATAAATTTCACAGGCAATGGTGATTATCCTGAAAGGTAAGCAAAGAACTTTACGAGGTGACCGTGACAGGATAACTGGGCTGGAGGAAAACTGGAATGATGACGGGTCTCCTCCATTCCAACTGCTTTTCTCCTCTGGATCTACAGAGCCCCCAGTTAGACCCCATTGGCCTTTTCTTCCATGTCCTGAGGACAGCTCATCACTGGTCGAGGTTAATCAAACCACAATGCTGGGGAAATGGGATTGGCTTCCCTTTCCGGGTGAGGAGGGAAATGACCCAGAGCCCTAGGGTGGATGGAGAGGCTGGGATGTGGCAGGATGCTAAGGCAGAACGGCTCCACAGAGGAGGGCCTGGCTAACGTGTTCCACCGGGCCCTGAAGCCACTGTCCTCCACCTCCTGGCTCACCATCTCCTTGCTGCTTGGGCGAGAGCCAAGACAAGCACTTCGCACACGAGTTATCAGCCCTTGATGCCAAAGAATGATTTTATACCCACGGCTGGGTGTGTCTGACCTGTCCATATTTACTCAGAAGTGCAATTTAGCTCACTCTCATCGGTCTTGGGAAATGAGTCTTTTCCACCTTCTCACTTTCACGTCCTCCAAAGAAGCATAAATTACTTTAGGTCACTCTATCTTTTTTGTTGCTGTTACTGTTTAGACGGGGTCTCCCTATGCAGCCCAGGCTGGCCTCAAACTCATGGTGATCCCCTTTCTTCAGCCTCTCGAGGGCTGGGATTATAACCACCACTCTTGGCTTTGGTTACTGCACCTTATCTGTTCACTTCTGTCCACATCTTCCTAACATGAAGACAATTTTTAATCTTCTAACTTTCTTGCTTCTGATTCCCAATAAAAACAATATACCAACTCTCTCCTTTTCTTAGTCCCTTTATAAACCAAAACCTAATTGTGACTGCTGTTGGGGAGCACAGAAATCATACTAGTGACGGGAGCCTGGAAGGTGGCCTCACCCTTCTGGTTAGAGTGACCTGTGTCTTTCAGATGCAGCTGTGTCTGATGGCCAGGTTTTATTTCCCATTATTTGTATGTCCTCGGTGTAGTATGTCTGAAGTCAATTTCATGAGTTAGAAAACATATTGGTGGACGGACATTTAATGATCGCTTATCTCACAATTTATCTAAAAACTAATCTGAGTAACACAGCTGACTTTTACTTCCATTGACAAAGTTGAGGGCTCTTTTGAGGCAGAGGCAGGGACTCAGGCGCACACAACTTACTCAAGTGGACCAAGGATACTGCAGCCAATGGCCTTGAGCTGAGAAAACACTGTCATGAAGGATTTATCAGTCTCTGACCTGCAACTCAATCTAGCTCCCTACTGTAGGTCCTGTATTCTCACTCGTGTTTCCCAGAAAAAGAGTCCCCGGATGTGTTTTTGGATACTCAACGAGGAACCAGCTCTGCTGGTCACAAATCAGAACCAGGCGCTGTACCTGCTCCGTTGGTCATGAACCCGCGGCCGTGGGGGCAGAGCTTTTTGAAGGCCACAGTGCCCTGGAAAGGGCAGATCTCACAGTGCGGGCCCCAGCCTCGCCCTCCGTCGCAGCAGCACTCAGACTTGGTGACCGGGTTCCTGTTGCTGGAGCCGATCTGGCACATGTTCTGCAGCACCTCCGTGAAGCAGTACCCTTCCCGATTGTCTGCAAGGGTCACCCGCAAAGAGCATTTCAGAGCACAGTGTGCACACAGGGGATAAGAATTTGGTCATCTATACAAACCAAAAAACATGCAATGCTTTACCCGGGACGAGAAGGAGCGAGAAGAGAAAGCCGGCACAGCAGGGAGAGAGAGGATGGCATCTGAGAAGAAGCAGAGAGACACCCGGGAGGGAAAGCATGGCCGAGACAAGCTGACAGCTGTGTGTCCCTGAATTCGGGAAGAGTCGCTCCAGGCATCCCCTGGAGAGGTGCAGAGACACACAGAGATGATCCCGATCACCAAGCGCTCCGAGGGCAGCCAAGAAAGAAATTCCAAGCAAGTGATTCAGGAAAACAATCAGCAAAGGAAGGATTTAGCTGCAGGGTGGCCCCAACCCCAACGGACAATCTCCGTTATACAAACACTTTAACCCTTCCCAAACGTCCACAATTTCTCTGGTTCCCAAGGGGAGGTCTGGGTTCCGAGTATCCCCAGGGTGGGGGCGGGGGGTGGACGTCAGGAAGGGCTTGTTCCAGCGCACTCACCGAGACACTCGTCCTGGGTGGGGCTGGCTGTGAAGCCATCGTTGCACTCGCAAATGTAGCTCCCGAGTGCGTTGAGGCAGCGGCCGTTCTCACAGATCCCCGGCCGGGTCTGACACTCATTCTCATCTGTGTGGTTTCATGGAAGGGTCCAGACAGAGGGCGTCAGTGTGTTCTAGAAAAGCAGAGTCCTCTTCTCTCTCTTCCTTCCCCCTCCCAACTCACTTTCTTTTCTTTTTTTAGTGCATGTTTGCAGTACACAACCATCACATTCCTTGTGGAGAGCTGGTTCGGGGACCTAACACGTTCAACTCACTCTGTAAATATCGGATCTATGCACCGGACTCTAGTGCTAAAGGGATGGGTGGGTACTCAGCAGAAGTCGCCTTCGCCCAGTTCCTCAGCCACCAACCCCCTGCTGGGAGCCCAGCGATGCTGAGGCCAATTTCTACTGCATCCTCCAGAGACAGGTTATGCATGAGAAAGCAAGCGTGCGTGCACACACACACACAGACACACACACGGACACACACGGACATGCGTCCACTGCTGTTTAACAGGCAGTTGATAGCACTTTGACAAGTTCACACCTTGTGTACACTTACATTTTTCACTTAATAAAACTGAAAACTTTTCATATCAGGACATGAAAGAAGACCCTCAAAAGATTATCCTGAGTGGAGGGGAGTAAGTCAGAGACGTGTTAAAGTAGTACTGCCATACTTCCTCAGCATAACATCTGGAAAGGTCTCTGTGGCTCTGGGGCACCTAATCTGCAGGGCCTGGAGAGAGGACTAAGACATAATGGACCAGAGTTCAGCCTCCAGAGTTACAAACTCCGAAATCGCTGGAGAGTTTTTGGATTGTCTGATGGTCACTTCTAGTGGCCCTAAAGCAATTCACCCCACACTTGCCCGGCGGAGGGGTCTGACAGCTGGAGCAGGTGAGATCTGGTGAGAAATTCCAATGCCCAGGCTGCTGCTGCCCACCTGAGTCAAGCGAACCCACTGCCCACTGAGGCTGCAAACCAAGGATCCAGGTTGTAATCACTGATTCCCATATTTCCTTTGGACTTTTTTTCAGTATTGGACACTAAACCCAGGGTTTTCCACTGAGCTACAACTCCAGCCCGTTTTTAAATTTTTAATGTTCAGACAAGGGTCGCACTAAGTTGCTAAACTGCCCAAGCTAGGCTCAAACTTTGATCCTCCTGGCTCAGCCTCACAGAGTTCTGGGATCACAGGTGTGCATCACCGTGCCTGTCTGTTTTTTTTTTTTTTTTTGGTACCAGGGATCAAACTCAGGTCCTTGCGCTTGCAAGGCAGGCAGCGGAACCACTGACCTAAATCCCCGGCCCCCGCCTGTCTATGCTTTTAAAGCCTGCTCTTTAACAGTTGCTTAATTCTGTACTTTACAGAGTACAGGGACAATGGGAATCTTAAATCTTCTTGACTGGTAACATACAATATACCTTTTTGGTGTCATTTACTTTTAGAAAGGAAAAGGGTCCATGTGGGAACTTTCTAGTCATTTTCTTCACTCTATTGTGCAAAGCACAAGTTAAGCCTTTTTTTCCATAAGTCAGATCATAGAACTTTAGCTTTCAAGGCCACTGTCGTGATGCTTCCAGTCTGCCACTGAGGCATGAACGCTGCCAAGGTACTGTCATAGCTGTGCTTTAATACAGCGGCACTGACAGAGGCAGCTGGCCGGTGGGCTGCGGGCTGCAGGCTGGAGTTTCTCCTGCCCTGGCCCTAAGCTGTGGTTCCCATGCCAGTCCCCATCAGAATCACTTGGGGCCTAAAACCTGCCCGGGTCCGGACCACCGCACACCAGACTGGCCCCACGCAGGTCGGCCATGTTTGGACAGGGAGAGCCGTGGGTGGGGAGAGACACGCCCAGACCACCCGAGGAGAGGAAGGGAGGGGCAGGCCGAGCCAGGGCCTCCCTTCCTGAAAGCAGGATGGGCCGCAGGCGTAGGGAGGCCCGGCCCAGCCAGTGACCAAGAGGCAGGGCCCCCCCGGGAAGCTGGGACAAGAGGTCTGACTGCGCCCAGGTGGCTTCTGTCTGCTGTCGCCTCCCAGTCGCTGCAAGCTCCTGGCGCAGAGGCCTCTTACCCACACAGCCCTCCCCATCGGGCCTGCGCTGGTAGCCGGGGCCGCAGATGCACATGTAGGTGCCGATGAGGTTCTTGCACTCCATCTGCTTCTCCGCACAGTCGTGCTTGCCCTCCTCGCACTCATCCTCGTCTGGAAAGAACGCGGAGTCACACGCCGAGCACAGACGCTGCCTCTGAGCCCAGGGATGGCGGGAGGCCAGCGCTGCTCCCCTAGGCCCTCCCAGTGTGGACTGAGCTCACCCCGCTTCCACGGGGCGCTGACCCCTCCAGCACAAAAGCGCCCCGAGGAAAGGGCCTTGACCACACCTCGAGCCTCAGCCCTGCCTGACCTCATCCCCTCCTTTCTTACAGTTTTCTGATCCTTTCTGATAGTACTGACAAGACCTTGTATTATTATAATAATATTTCAAATTATGATAACAGCATTTTATCTGCAATATATAATAACATATTGTAAGAATGATGGGTTAGAATATAATAAACCCAAACTTCCATTCCACAGCATTTGGAAGGAATAATACACTGAAATACAACCTTATTCTAGTATGATGACGGGCATTAGCATGATTAACACTGGAGGAATCATGATATAACGGGAGCTCTGCTTTTACACTGCGACAGGAAGCCAGGCGTCCTCAAGTGTCTCCTCCTCCGCCCCTGATCTGAGTGGGTTGGGGGTCTCCCTCCCGTCTCGCTTTGCCTCCTGTTGCGTCTCCTCTTTCTTTACTCTTCCCTCGAGCGTTTTCAGAGTTGAGAAGCCTGGACTTTTTCCTGCACACATTCCCACTTAAGAACACGACCCCCTCCCGCCCTGCTGAAAGCAAAACTATTTCAGGATCATGAGGAGCAGGTGCTACAGGGGAGCCCTTTGGAGGTGCGGGATCAGCCCACTCCCTCTTTGGACATAAAGCTTAACTGAAGTAGGTCCCCCCGTGACCCCACCTTGAAATACTACACCCTTCCCTCTCTCAGAGTTCCCACTGACTCCTCCTCTGTCTTCTCAGGGCATCTGGACACAGAACCCCACAGTCTTCGCCATGCTGTATTATGATTATTTCTCTGTCCTTTGTCTCAATCTCCACCCAGAGCTCTGTGGATGGAGGGAAGCCCCTTTCTTCTTGCATCTTCTCCTCTTGCAGTGTGACTGGTGCCCTTAGGCATGCAACGCTCAGTGGACCAACAAAGGGTGTGCTCTGCAGGCTTGAACTCAGCCTGCTGGTGCTTCAAGCTACAGCTGAAGGGGAAGGCGGCAGGGACAGCCCCTAAAGGGCCCACGCACGCACGGACCATCTTCCCGGTCCCCAGCCCCCTTTGCTAAGGGAAGCTCAGAAGGAAGCCTGCCATCATCTCTAACAAAGAGATCTCACCTTTGCACATCCGCCTGTCTTCTCTCAGGACGTAGCCGGCAGGACATTTGCACTCATAGGACCCGTAAGTGTTCACACATCGGAAGGCACAAAGCAGAGGGTTCTGGGCACATTCATTGATATCTGCAACAAAAGAAAGTGAGAAAATAATGAAGTATGGACATCAACAATAAAAAGTGAGGGGGCAGGAGGGAGGGAGGGAGAGAGAGAGTTAGACAGACCAGGTGTGGTGGCGCACAGCTGTAATCTCAGCACTCTGGGAGGTCAAGGCAAGAGGACTGCATGTTTGAGCCCCAGCCTGGGCATCCTAGCAAAGCCCACTCCTATCAAAAGTTGCAATGCCAAATTGTCATCCACAGGATGGAGCCAGCAGTCTCTGATTTCCAAGGATTATACAAGCAGTTGGTTATTTTATTTCTGGTAGAAGGAGGATGACCATATATCCTGGTTCTCCCAGCAGAGTCCCTGTTTATGTCTGCTGTCTTGTCATAATTATCAATGGTTATTCTGGTGGATGAGAAGCTACAGGTCGCCCTACATACGGGGACTTTTCTGAAATCCTGGCTTGGAGGACTTGCATCAGAACTGAAGCTGATCCCCCAAATATTGTGAGCCCCTTCCTCCTCCTCACCGGACACAGGGCTTCCTGTGAGTTAACATGACTCTTCTCCTGAGAAACAGTGCTCCAGATCATTTTTCACTCACAGAGACCTAGCTCACCTACATGCCCAGCTTCTACCCTTCAATACAAGGACATTTTTATAGGTTTCATGGTTTGGAACCATCCGAATGTGTTTTGGAAAACACCTCCCCAGGGATCGTGTTGCTCCGCAGTGATGTCCCTGTGATGGGGACAGACAGCACAAGATGGAGCTGAGGTCAGGACAGTCACAGGGGTTCAGTGACAACCCTCAAAGTGGGTGCTGATGGCCATGTGCTAATCAAGAGCTCCCTCGGATGCCAACCTTGCCCTCCGCCTCCCCCTTCATCCTCAGGCCAGTGAAGCTCGGCTTCAGAGTGTACCTGTCCAGTGCCGGCAGGACCTCTCCCTCTCCCGCCCCTTAGAGTTTGTGACTCCGAAGATCTGCACAGGGCCGGAAGCTGCATCTCTGCCAGGTCCCCAGAGGTGCCGGGTGGAGGATGCAGGGAACACCCTCGAGAGCCACTCTCTTCTACTCACTCTCCCTAGCTTTCCCTTCTTCCCATACCTCCTATCAGACAAAGTGATAGCTCATTCTCAGATCCTTATGCGGTTCGGGCAACCTTGCGTGCGTGCTATGGCTGCCGCCGAATGGCTATGGGATGTTGGTCATTATCGCAGTGTGAAAATGTTTCTACAAATAGAAAAAGAGAGAAGAAAAAGAAAGAGCTCACAGGAGATACAGGGAAAAAAACCCCAAGATCATAGGAGACAAGGAAAAAAAAGAAGAAATAGAAAATAAGATAGAAGGTGGTAAGGGAAATAGGAGAAATAATCCAAAAATAAGTAGTGGGGACTCCCGACAGGTACCCAGTGCGGCTTACGCCCCAAGCACCTGCCTTTTCTCACATATTCTCTGCAGAGGGGCCCACACGGAGAATAAATGAAGGAATGGCCCGCGGGCTCAGGTGTTCTTGTTCTGCACACCTGAGTGGTCCTCAGTATTAAGCAATTGCTACAGAGAACCAACTCGAGCTTCAGGCGCTTTTACCTTCACACGTCATCATCGGGCCAGGCTCGAAGCCCTCCTCGCAGGTGCATTCGAAGCCTCCAATCACATTCTTGCAGGTCCCATTGCCGCACGGGTTCCCCACGGAACACTCATCGGTGTCTGCCAGCGACAGGAGGAGACCAAAACGAGGCGAACTGAGATACAAGTGGACTCAGATAAGCCATTCACGCTGTCCGCACACTCTGACCGGAAAGTCTTGTCTAATGTGTTTCATGTGCGTTCTTCTCTTGCAAGAAGCGCACATCCTGTCATCAAGGTTTAGGCTCTGTCTGCTCTGCGGCACTGGCCGGGACAGTGCTGAGCCCCCGGCACTTGTGCTGCCCGTCTGTGTGCTCCCCCAACCCCCTGCACCGTGGAGAGGCTGTCTTCTACCAGGAGCAGCCGCCCTGGTGGTTAAACAAGTCCCCTCCAAGCAATTTAGACAGAAGTGCATCTCCGGTATGGCCCACATTACATCACTCTACAAGAAGCCTTGGCCATGATGGAGTCTTGCCAGATATACAATAGAAGATTAAACTGACGTAAAATAAGAGCCCAGAGGTTAAGGAGAATTAATACACTGGATAAAATCAAGATTCAAGCAGATTTTGTTGCTTTTGTTGAAACAAGATGGTTTCCATTAGGCTGAAGAAAGGCTAGAAAAAAATATCTTTGGGGTATGACATCTCAGCAACCACAGAGAGAGAGAACATATCTTACCAGGGAGACCTAAAAAAATACATATATGCCTCCTACCCCATCCACCTGAACACTCACTGCTCTTAATTCTGACCCATCCTTGGGAAAGGAAACTTAATCAGAATGACACTGTTATTTCTGCTGTCTAAAGCCTGGAAGAGTAGTGGCCTATTGTCAAGGGTTATGCCTTATGTTGGGGCTGCAAAGGCAAGAGAACATGGTAGGGAGACCCTAGGTGAGAAGCACCCTCTGCATCTACACATTAGCCCTAAGAGAAGATTCCAAAAAAGGAAACAGAGATAAATTTGCTTTTGTGCCTCATGAGGGACAAATAATTATTTCTCAAAAATAAAAGGAAAAAAGAGCATACAATTTCTCCTTCCTGTTAGTAGAAGTCATAATAATATCATTGCATTTTAAGACTTGGAAGGCTGATTAGAAATAAATTACTTCAAGTGAATAATATATCCCAAGGCAGAGCTGGGGCTGAAATCCTGAAAAACCCAGACTCTTTGTATGAAAAGAACACTTTTTAGCTTACACAGACAAACCTTCAGGATTTATACCACTATCAATTCAGATGACACTGAATTGCTTTGGAATTCTTTGATAAGTGAACATGATGCTTGGATTGAACTTGAAATTAGTGCAGGTTAGGGTCAAGGGCTCACCACAGGAGCCCTTCTTGGAAATTTCAATAGAGAGGTTAAAAGAAGAGGAACTCAGGCTGGGTATATGGCCTTTCATGCTACTAAAGGTATAAAATCCAGGTAAGGCTGGCAGTTGATATCCCAATGGAATCAGATGAGGACCATTAACAATTTTTAAAATTTCACTAAGAGCTTCAGCAGGATGACCTGCTTCCCATGTCTCTCAGGATGTGTCCAGTGTCTGTCTTGCCCATTGGACTGCAGGGTCCCCAGCAGGGACGACCTTCTTTGCTCAGTGACTTGTAGTGGCCCCAGAGTCTAGTGTTGTGCCTGGCACACGGTGGCGACTCACGAAGGAAGCATGAATGGATGGGCGAAACGTAAAGCCCCGCCTTGGCAGTTACAGCCACTAAGAATGCTGTCTCGCTTCCTGCCTATCCGGAAGATCCCAGAGGGAGCCACTGGCCCCTACTCACCCACACACTCGTTCCCTTCCAGGATGTAGCCGAAGGGACACTCGCAGCGGTAGGAGCCGTCTGTGTTGATGCACTGCCCGTGTCTGCAGACATCAGGCTCTTTGCACTCATCCATATCTTAAGCAAAGGAGGAGAAGACGGTGAATGCCAGGGTATTTTTCTTAATCCAAAGATAAACCAGTCCTTTCAGTGTCTGGTCAGCAAATATGAGGTGTCACAACTGGTATCTAAGCGAAATTTTAAAAATGGAGCTTGATTTTTTTCAAGGTGGCTATGGAGAAATCAAGAGGAAGAGCACAGGCTGAAGGGCGCAGCTGAGACTCGAGGCCAGGCTACTCACCAACTGCGGAATCGTCAGGCCCCACGATGATGCCACTTCCGAAGGGACAGATCTGGCGGAAAGCCTCTGCAGAGGACACGGGTGCGCGTTAAGAGGCAGACCGGCAGCCACCAGTCACAGGCTTCTCTCCGAGCAAGCGGAGGCAGCCAGAAGGCCACAGCTGTGATGACCGGGACAAGCCCAGACACCAGGGGCAGGGGCAAGGCTGCCCAAGGCGTGTGCTTTGTCCGCGGGCATCTGACTGCTAACGTCCTTAGACAACAGCTACCCAGCTCCTGAAATAAAGTCACCTTTCATGGGCTTCTAATCAGACTTACGATGAAGCTGCCCCATGGTCTCAAAGCTGTGACCTCGGGAGAAAGCTGGCGGTCACACGTACCGTCGGGCTCTGTGGGGCACAGCTCACAGGGGTCGCCCCAGCCTTCTCCCTTCAGGGCGCAGCAGCACTCCTGCTTCGAGTGGTTTCTGGATTTGGGTGAAGAGCACTTCCCTCCTTCGAACTTCGCATAGCAGTAGCTCATTCTCAAATCTGCAGTGCAAATTCACGGTGCCCGTTAGTGACTTCCCCACGAGTGCTCACTGTGCAGCAGCGAAGAGCAAACACCACGCTGCTCCAACGTGTCCTCTCGTAGGCACAGTATCCCTCTGTGACCGTCGGTCACTCACTGGTCACTTTTAGTAGGATGTGGTGAACAGATCCAGGTGGCTTTAACCCTATTACTCCTCAGTGGAGCCAACATTTCAAAATAACCTGGCGTCATAATGACATCCGACACCCACATCTGCTGGTGACTTCAGGATTGGAACATTGGCAGGTGGCCACAGACACAAGATCCCTTCACTCATGCCTCTGCCTGCGTGGGTACTGTATGAGATGCAGCACGCACACTGGGGGCTGTTCAAACCAAAGTAAAAGCTCAGGTCCCAGGGATAGGGCAGATAAAGACCGGGAACTGGCAGAGCTGCAACAGGCAGTCACAGAGGTGGCGCCTGGCAGAGGTACAGATGCCAAGTGCGAGGGGGCTGTGTGGATCCACACCATGCACGCGGCGCCACGCCAGCATTCAAGGACTTTGGTTAGCTCAACACGGACAGGGAAAGAAGACTTCGGGGCTAGGACTGGGTAGGACAATCGTTCTGTAAACGAATGTATGTATTTCTTTAATATTGATTACTGTTTGGTGACCCTAGGAAGATGGTTTATCTTTCCTACATAATTCTCCAGCATCGCTCGACACAATTTTGGAAACTGACTTTTCCATTTCTTATAGTACAAACCAGGTGACTTTTAAGAAGTGAGCTCATCCAGGGGTCTGGAATGTGCTTTCCTTCAAACTAAACTTCCAAGGTCTTGCATGACTCCTCTCTGACTGCACAAGGGCTAAAATCTGCAGGGTTTAAAGAAATACTTTCAAATCTACTCTGTCCAATTCCTTTTTCTTTACTTCTGATCACCTCTGCCTTCTTCGCTGTCTCCCCAGCCGTTTCTCAATTCCAGAAGCAGGAAGCAAGCTGCCATAGCCGCCTACCCGTTTTTTACTAAGGCCATTTCCCCAGCTTTAATTTTAGGCAAAGGAAACAATGTAAAAAGTAATTGAGTTGCCAAAGATCACAGAAGTCTTCATGAATTAGTTAAAAATATCTATCATTTATCAATCTACCCACCTATCATCTCTATCTACCCATCCATCCACCTATTATATTTAATTAGCTTCACAAACCCTATTCAGCTGGTCTCCCGATGAACTCACTCAGCTCCTCAATGGCTACCAGCTCTTCCAGCTAAGTCCTCTCTGCAATTTCCACTCCATTTCCACCTCTCATCGTTCAACAAATGACCCTTCTGAAGGCCAAGAGCGACAAAAGCCCATTCTTGTCCTGACACCCAGATGTCTGCTTTGCTGAGAAACCTCAAGGTCTAGCGAGTGTCCATTTCCTGGGAGACCTTTTGATTCCCTTCATTCTTTTTTTTTTTTCCCCTTCATTCTTCAAGTTCTCTGTCACATACAGTGCTTTGTATTCATCAGTATTATTTTTACTGCTTAGGCCTTAGGCAAAGGCTAAGATATAATCTAAGGGCTACTTGCAGAACTGTCCCAACAAATACACTGAAACCCACTCTCCCCTTTGTCTGCAGTTTTCTTTTTAACCTAGATCTGTGCCTGGCCTGCCCCTGGCGTGTGGAGAGTCTCTGTCTTCCTCCCGGTGCTGATCTTGCTCCAGAACCCTGCTCTCCTCTCCCTCACCCCTGCACACCCAATTCAAAATCACGAGGTTTCCAGTCAGTCTAGGAGACCAGCTCCCGTCCTTCCACTGTCCCCTGATGGCACTTGCTGCTTCAAAAACATAATCCAGAGTTCTGGGAAATTTTCTCATTGTAGCACAATAGAATTCTGGCTCTCATTTCATCATCATACGAGAAAAACATTAAGTTTTCATTGCTGGGCCGCAGCAAAATCTGCGTCCTGTGGGACAGTGACTACTTTGCTTGTGTGACCGTCCGGAATGGCTCATGATCACAGGGGCCTGGCACTGGTGGCCAGAGCTGGGCCCATACATGCACGCAGCTGGGGCTGGCAGAGATGCCTGCTTACAAGTCGTTCTGCACAGAGCCCTTCCTGAACTCTGCAACTGCCTCGGAACTACAAAACCACTTGCCCTGCTCGCATTCCTCAGCTCTGGCTCTGCCTCCCAGGCTCGGCTTGTGCCAGGGCTCTCACAGCTGGGCCGTTCTCCCTGCGCTGTCAGCTTGCGCTGTGACAGGCCAGCGCAAATCGAATTAATAGCTCTGGCCTGCCACATCAGCAGATTCACACCTGGTTTCTCACTGCTTTCTTTCCAAGCTGAGGCTGAGCCAGAGGCCCACACAAACAAGGGTGTGGGCCTCGATGTATCTGGGCTGCTCTGGACCACCAGACAGAAAATCTGCTTGGATCAAGCTCCTCCCACTCACCACCCCGAAATCCACAGGGACCCCTGAGAGCTCCCTCCAAGATCAAAACGAGCGAGAATTCCCAGCTCTCTCCTTCATACTTCCAAGCCGAGAAGGCAGAGTTGATGAGACAGAATAACAAGAGTCTTCAGAGGACCCAGACAACAGCAGAGCCGTTCAAGTTCAGAGGGCTTGGCTGACCAGGTGCCGCTACTGTTTGAGAGGAAGAAACTGAGCTCCCAAAACATGAAACCATTTGCTCCAGGCTGAAAAACGGTGGGGCTGGGACCCCAAACCCAAGTTTTAGAATCTTAAATGAGATCCAGTATTTCATATTTGGTAATATGGAAGAAAAGCCAAAAATACACACACACACACACACACACACACACACACACACACACACACAAAACAGCCCAAAACAAAAAATAACCCTCCTTCACCATCAAAACAACAACAATTCAATAGCAGACATTGGTAAGGAAAAAGAAATCTCTACATTTGTGGACCCCGCCCGCAGAATTCATTAAACAAATTTGCATAAGCGGACAGCCAGTTGAAATTTATATTGTTTAGAAAAGTCTACACAGCTCGCTAAGACTTAGGTACACATTGGGTTACACTGAAGTTTAGGCTGTGATTTTTTTATTTGAAAGCCAACTTGGCCACCCCTTGAAACTGCACTGAAACAGCTGACAAGCGTTGATCCTGAGAATGAGTGGTGGCCCCGAAATAACCCTGACCACATTAAACTTCTCTTTCTGTTTTCTTCCAGAATCTGTGGTGTATGGGACGGGCATTTTATCCTGGGGCGATGGGATCATTTGCTCTTTTTCTATCTGAAGGTTCAGGTTTGTGCTCAGAGCCAGGCAATGTCGCCAGGCTTTGGCTCTGCGGGGCCACATGGTGACCCCCACCGACCGCCATGAGCATCTGTGTTCTCGGGGGAGAGAGAGATTTCAGTGTCACGACACCTGTGTAAGCAACCATAACGTGATGGATGCACTTTTAACCTGCAAAGTAAAAACGAACCTGCTGACATATGGTGATCATTGGCCTCCTAGTGAATGACCTCTCTCCACCTTCCTGCTCACAAAGACCAGACTGTCGCCTGGTTTAAAACATGCAATCACCCGAAGGAGGACACTGTTACCTTGGCACCGCCTTCCGGTGGACGACAGGGAGAACCCTTCCGGACACAGACAGCGGAAGCTGCCCTCGGTGTTGCTGCAGGTGCCCAGGGCACAGATTTCAGGCTCCTCCACACACTCATCGATATCTACAAGAATGACATGAGTCAGACAAAGTCGGAGCGCAATGTGGACACCGCCTGGCCCTGAATGAAGCTGAGTTTCAAACTCTTCCAAGAATGGAGCTGCTTTCCTATGGCATGACGCTGCGAGTGGCACTTCTAGCTATGATTTTTAAATACTGCATCTGACAGGGCTTGATGTAAACATGGAAATCTGCTAGCACCTTCTCAGAGGTGCGATGACAAATTTCCCTTTCCTGGGAAGAGCTGCTTGGCTGAATAGAAAAGCAGGAATCATTTCATACCACCTTAGGCCAGGAAGGAGCCAGAAGCTCCAGGCTCCCAGTTTACCAGCGATCAGGAAGCAGAAATTCTGAGGCTGATCTCAGTGTGAGACGTGGGCCTCTGAACCAAACTGATTTCCCTACACCCATCCACAGGGTTTTTACCAATATCCTATGCGGTAGCCCTGAAGCATTTCACAAGGACACTAATATTCATAAGAACAGGCGCAGTCCCACATAACAGGCACCGAAGGTTATCATGGAAGTGAACTCCTGAAGGGTTGGCATGTAATTTTGCTGAGGACACAAGAATATCTTGCTGGACACGCTGTGGTTTTCATCACCCAGATAACAGGAGGTAACACACTCTGAAGGGGACACATTTTCCTTCATGCGTCATTCATCTTTGCTCCGTGGCCCGTGGTGGAATCTCAATGGCTCGGGGACCGAATGTCCTACTTCGCCCAGAGAGTCCCAGTTTCTGGCTCTGCATGTCAATATGACTTCGTGACTAACAGAACCCTTTTTCATTTTCAAAATTGTCTTGGTTTGGCCAATAAATTACATGATCACTCTACCTTTAGGAAAAGTATGGCCACTCTATTTCAAGAAACTCAGCAGCAATTTATAATGAAGAAAGCAGCGAGTCTTAATTCTGAGCCATGCTATTGTGCAGAAATAGTTTTTCCTAACCAAGTACTAAGTATCTCTTTTATCACAGGATCCCTTGTTTCACATGTTTTGCAAAGAGTTCCACCCACATCAAAATGTATTTGCATGACACAGATTTATTCCCAAATGACCCACCTAATGAAAAGTTCAGAAATGAACTCCATGCAGAAATGAACCACACAACTGATATTCTAGAAATGTGCAATGCAAAGTGATCAGCTTCTTGTACAACGCAAAATCAGCCTCCTTGTTATTCCATGTTACGAGGTTATACTTACAACTGTGCTATGTCCCTTGAGATTTATTAATGAACTTGAGCTGTTCCTGATTAAATTACTCCATTCCCACACTCCCTCCACCCGTACATTCTTAAAAGAAAAATTAACTTTTGTAAAAAAGCTTAATTATTTTTCTTGATTGTTTTTGTCATTGTTGCTAGGATTCTTTTTATTTTTTTTTCAGTACTGTGTATTTTAACACTCTGCCTTCATATTGTACTACATTCTCAGCCCCTTTTATTTATTTTTAAATTTTGCGATAAGGTCTTACTAAATTGCCCAGGCTGGGCTCAAACTTGGAATCCTCCTGCCTCAGCCTCCCAGAGAGCTGGAATTACAGATGTGTGCCATCATACCAGACTGACTCTTTTTATTATAGTAAATATTATCCTGTAGGTGTTAGTTTTTTTTTCAGTTTCTTAATAATAAGGATAAATATTATAGAATGGGCCTATTAATTGACCATTTGGGAAATCATTTCTCTTTCTATACATCTCCAGTCTGTTTATTTTAAGGGAATTATGCATCATTAATCATGGAATAAATACAGCCAGTCTTTGACAATATTAGCAGTAGGGCAAATTTTCACTTGCTGGGGGTGACAGACAGACCTGCTCAAAGCAGGGGCATGAAGGAGGTGACTTTGTGAAAATCCATTCAAACCTATTTATTTATCAAGTATTTGCAATTCACATTCTTCACTTTATGCTGTGATGTACTCGTTGGGATTAAGGAAGGGGAAGCAATCCTATAACACCGCCCAGGGCTGTATTTCCACCACTCTGTAGGTGAAGACAACACACACATACATATTAAGTGAACGCTTTCATCCGAGCCTGAGTGTGTTCTTTGTTTTAACTGGATTCAGGGTTATTTTCACTTTAGCCCACTGCCGCTTAAGTGCAGGTAACAGGAATGCTGGCGGTGGGCCTACAGCACTTTCACAAGCTCTAGAAAGCACAGTGGGACAGGGTCAGGGACATGAGCAGCTGCGTGACATAGAAAAGTAACCAGACGTCAGCCTAAGCATGACCCGTTCCTGTCTGCCGGAAGATGAGGCCCTAAGTCCTATTCTGTGACCCCAGCCTTTTTACATTAAGTGTTCCGCAGGAAGATGCCCTGCAGAAACTCTGGCTGTGGAAACCGTGGAGCACTGACCCCGGGCCACCCTCCTGGCCCTACCTTCGCACTTGTCATTCTGCAGGCTGTACCCCGGCGGGCAGATGCAGCGGTAGGACCCGTCCAGGTTCTGGCAGGTGCCAGGGGCGCATTTTCTAGGCTCTAGGAGACATTCGTTGATATCTGCGAAGAAAAGGGGAAAAAGAAGGAAGAAGTTCCCACTAGGGTGAGTTCCATCCAGCAACTCAAATGCAGAGAGACTGGAATTAATTCGAGCACCTAAAGCTCACGAATGTCCACAAAATTCCACATAAATAACTCAATAAAAAGCAAGCCTTCTCAGTTTCCCTAAGTGTGCAGTATAACGACCTGCCACAAAGTAAGTGTTTCTGGCAAAATATATCTCGTGAAAGGTCAAAGTATGCGAAGAGTGTAAGCCACTTACAGGATTACATGAGCTGACTACAAACACAGTTTGAGTAAAAACATAAGAAAGATAATCACAAGAAATTTAACAATTACCATTTTCTGTGAATACAGTGACTTGATTTTTTAAAGTAAGAAAAAAAGTGATATATGGAGAGTGTGTGTGTGTTTTGTTTTTTGAGACAGGCTCGTACTGTGTAGTTTAGGCTGGCCTTCAACTCACTATATAGCCCGGAAGAACTCGGTGATCTTCCTGCCTCAGCCTCCTGAGTGCTGGCATTACAGGGATTTGTCACCATGCCTGGCTATATTTTTTTAAAATGAAAACACAAACAAGGGCCTTACAGGGAAGACTAGTGTGATTCTGCTCTGATTCTCTGGAAGGAGGGGCCAGAGCGGCAGGGTCCGGCTCTGTGCCCGGTCCTGGGGAGCCCACACTCACCCACGCAGGTCCTGCCGTCGGGGGCGATCTCGTAGCCGCCATTGCACCGGCACTGGAAGGAGCCCACGGTGTTGACGCACTGGCCGTTTCTGCACAGGTTCCCATTTCCGGTTGCACACTCATCAACGTCTGCCCCCCAAAAACAAATTACCTTGGATATATTCCCAAGAAAATACCAAGGTCCCAGCTGGACTTCTGTGGATTCCAGGGGCCTTTGGCCTCGGCCCCCAAAGGCCCCCAAATGGGAAACATTAGAATGAGCTCAGGTTTGTACCAAGGGCATCTGGTTCACGCACCTTCAACCGCAGCAAGATTTCATTATTATATTGGAGGTTGGTGATGCACATTAGAATTTTATATCACTTCCACCTTGACCTTCCTTCAGGGTTTATTTTTAAAAGCTAAAACTGGGCTCCTAATGCACAACTCAGCTGAAGGCATTCTTTAGTGTTCTTGCAGGCAGAAGTATATAAAATTAGTTTCCAGCTCTGTACAATGTTTAGTTCATGACTGTTCCCTGGCATGTTTCATTAAGGGAATTTTAGGATTCAGTAATTTCTTTTAAGAGAGGCTTCAGAGAAACATCTAGACAATAAAGCCACGTAATTCCTGCATCCTGTGATTTCTATTTTAAGAATCGCTTTCGTATATCCTAACACTTTATCAATTCCATTTGTTCTGATATTTATTTAACCCACAGAAAAGGAGAGATAAAAATGATCGCTGTTAAGGAGCATTTCAGAAAAAGTAAGGGATGGAATTACTATGTCTGACATTGGCGAGCAAGCACATCACCCTTGACAAGTCTTGTAACCAACTGTTCTGCCTAGGATGGCAAATATTTAAAAAGAGAAACAAAACCAGGCCCGCGGTGGAGGACACTGCTGCCAAAGAATCGGGGAGCAGACTTGCTCTTGGGGCACCCGCCGGCACACGCACCGATGCAGTCGTTGTTGTGCGAGAGGATGAAGCCATGGTTGCAGCGGCAGTTGAAGGAGCCGATGGTGTTTCTGCAGGTCCCGTTCCCGCAGGCATCTCGTTCGCACTCGTTTATGTCTGGTAGGAAGGAAAGCCACAGGGGCACATGGTGACGGGGAATGACGCGGGCACATGCAGGTGCTGAAGGGAAAGGGCGCTTTGGGGTGCAGGTTCCCACGGAGGCCAAGAACCTCCCTGAGTGGCAGCCTGGGTCCTGGCCATATGACCAAGGGCAAGCAGAGGACATGAGGACTGGACAAGGATTAGCTCACTCTGTTTCCTTCTAGAATTCTCCACCCTTACCACTTTTCTCAAATATTTTCACTGGAAAGTGGAAAAAATTCTGTGGGCAGCAGGTCCTTGACTTGTTGCCATCTTTGTCACTCTCCATCTTGTAGGATTCTCACTCCAATTTACCAAAAAGCAGTGACTCACCTGGCATGACTTGGCCAGCAGCAAGAAAATCACCTGGCTCTGTAGCTAACCTGCCTTCCCAGACACCTTGCGCTGTCTCCCAATCACCCCTAAAACGCATGACCCCCTCCAGGGATGCCTGAGCTCCCCATGGGGCAGCCCTTAGCTGGCCTCCTCCGCTGCACTCTCGCTTTATTAGTGTCCTTCTTTATTGATCTGTAACTCTCCTCTGCGGCTATTGTGTAAAGCTATCCTGGCATCGTAAATGTTTTTGCGCCTCATACAAAGAGAAGGCATCCATTATGCCGAGGAGGAGACAGGAAAGAAAGGAGGTGGACAGCTTTCTTTGGAGAGAGTGGGCTCTCCTTTCAAAGAGGAATTATCTGTGATCCTGCATCAGGGGGCACCGCTGACTCCAAGGGGACTCTCCTGACTGCGCTCTGCTGGCGCAGAATCAAGAGCTGCTTTCCCGAGTTGTCCCCAGACAAACTGGGAAAGCTCTTAGTTAAGCTTCTGTTTTTGTTACAGAGCTCCTGGAAGTTCAGGTGGGCAACAGAAAAAATACCATGTGGCATCTCCTCGCTGTGCAGGGGTTACCGCCCGGGATGAGCTGGACTAGGAATGCTCCTGTAACTGAAAATTCCTGACGGTGTGGAGAAGACAGAACTTCTGCAATGTTCCCTGCTGAGGGAACCCAGTTATAGCCCAAAGCAAGCAGTTTCAACATTACTGTCCTGACTGCTCTCTTCCAGCTGTGTTCTTAAAGTCCCTGAAGGACTCACTGCATGCTGCTTTCAAGTAGAAAAAGAAAGGAGGGCAAACGAGAAAGGCACTGATTCCACATTCGGAGTTTCTGCTAAGTCGGCATTCTGACAGAACTGAACCCAAGGAAGAGTTGTCAAAGCTTGAGCCCTTTTTACCCTAGAAAAATGTTGCCTTCTTTTTTCTTCTCTATTTTTGGCCTTGGTAGGATTTGTAAATTTGCCTTTGAGGATCTGATTCAAGCCACAGACCTTTCTTTAAAAATTGCTCATTCACACTCAAAAGCTGAATACTGTTCCAATAATGTGAACCCACATAAATATAAAAATAAAGGTTATTAGCATTAATAAAAATTAAGTTTTGTCTTCAAATCTTTCTCAATTTATCCTTTAGGTAAGGATTTCTCTAGGGCTGCAGGTGCGTACAGTGGCAAAACACTTGCCTCGTATGAGAGAGGTCCTAGGTTCGATTCCCAGCTCCAAAAAAAAAAAGTTTTTCCTACACTGACAGTCTAAGGCATATCAAGAAAGAGGTTTGAAATGTTCAGACTGCCAGATTAAACAGGATGTTACTCCTGTACATCTGTCAGTTTTTATTCTGTAAACAGCAAAATAACTCCTGAAAGACTCAGTATTATTTTTCATACACATTCAGGTGCAAATGAACTTTCCAATAAGAAATGAAGAACACAACGCAATGATAATCACATACTCACCCAGACACATGGTTTGATCAGGATTTGTTTTGAAGCCAGTGTGGCAAAGGCAATAAAAGCTCCCCACAGTGTCAATACACTGCCCATGGCTGCAGATGTTGGGGATTTCTTGGCATTCGTTGCGATCTGAAAACCCAAAAAGCCTTTAGTGGAGACTTTTTAAAAGACAAAATCTCACGGAATAACTTAGCTCTGGGCATCGTTCTCAGGATTAATCCTAGCTCTAAACCAGGGAAGCGGATACCTGCGGTGTGTTTATTTTTGTCTCCAATGGGTTAACACTTAGTTTCGGAGTATTTTAACAACACATGAAACAATGAAAAATAGGGGCAGTCATGCTTTGAAAGAGGAGAAATTCAGAGATAAAAGGAGAGATTATTTGCCTATATGGTGCCTCCAACTTCAGAGTTAATTTCAGCGCTAATTCTAGGTGAGATTTGGGTTGCAAGTCGCTGACACTTCTGCCAGAAAGTTATATCAAAGCCAAACAAATCCGGTCGCTAAGATTAAGACTTTCTTAAGGGACAGCCCACACTGACCCAAGTTCACGCTTCACCTCACTTTCTGGTCTTATTCCTACAACTTTCGAACCATCTTATCAGCTCTTCAGGCCCACACACAATGGCTCCTTTCAGAGCGGACAACCTTCAGGGTGTTTCTTTTTTTTTCTTCAGAGTCATTCCAGGGAAGCCTCCTCATTTGGTTTCCCCTCTAAACTACACTGAGGATCACCTGAGTCTCTATTGCTCTCCTGAAATCTGATTATTTGAGGGGCAGAGTTTAACGCAAGAATTCAAAAGTGACATAATTCCACACCCACTTATGCCTCTAATTTTTTAAAGCTCTCCAGACTGTTGTGAATAAATGCCATTTGATGGGTTTTGTTCTATCCTGATTTTCCTCTGGTCACAAAGGAAAACAGAGTGTTATCTTTGCAGTCGATGCCACAAGTCCACACCACATCCTGCTCTTAGTTGGAAACCCAGACTGTTTTCTCTACCGGGCACACAGCAGTCAGGAATGGGCCCTGATTGCTCCACAGAGTAAGTAAACGGCTGTCCAGACACCTCCTTCTTCACCAGTGCAGCTCCCACCAGAGCTGAGCAGTCCCACTCTCTTCCAAAGCCCCGGATGCATGAACAGGGCAAATAGTATTCCTACTGGAGAAAACGAATTTAAAACAAGAAAATTGCTTTCCCAGGTGGGCAGAGGAAACTGTTTCCCAATTTCAGTGAAGGAGGTGACCAGCTCTGGGAGTGTGCAAGGCCAGGTCTGTCTCATGTCGGGGTCCCACAAGGAAACAGAGAGCATGAAGGCTCTTCTTAGAAAGGGATCCTCAATTCGGAAGGTTCTCTCTTTTACTGCCCTCCTTCACCATAGTTTAAAGAAACAGAGAGATTAAATGTGGCATACTCAGAGGTTCTACTGGAGAAACCGAAAGCCACCATTCTAGAGAACTTTCTTGTGAGGCTCTCACTTCGTCTCCACACCAGAAAACTAGGTTTCTCTCAGCACTGGGATTTGAATTCCCAGCAGATTATGTCTGAGATTTCGAGGGGAGACCTGGACAGGGCCCTGGGGTGCAGAAAACCCAAACAGTCAGCAAGGAGAGAGGAGGCGCCGAGGAAGTGCTGTGGTCAGCCGGGCACCACATTTCAGTCAGGACTGAACCTGCTCCCCAGCTCCTGGCCACACTGGCATCCTGGGCTCACACTAAGGCTGTTCTCTCAGATCTCCAGCAACAACGAAAGGGCTAAGGCCAGCTGTGCTTCAGGGGTTGGAAGCAATGTATTTACGAATTCAAATAAAAATCCTACAATGGAGACAGAGTTTTAGTTCTTTTCATTTTAAATGCAGGCAGAGGGGAATACTTTGCAACATGCCTGAAAAACTGCCCAGTATACAACAGCATTTGAAGATATTTTAAAATATTTTAAAAGTAGGATGTAACTGAAGACATTTCCAGAATGAAGTCTTCAACTCCAGAGGCTGAAGAACTGCAAAACTCAAGTGCATTCCCTTTTTCCTGAGGATTTCAGTGAATGGGGGAACTGAGCTTTGGGCTCAAAATGAACACCCACAAAACTCATGCTGGCAGCCACAAGTGTGTTTCATGTGTGTCCATGTTCTGCAAGAAAATACAAAAGTGCTTAAGCCGCTCTGGCTGCAGGTCTTGTGTTGATCTCTAAATGGCTCAGTCCTCCTTCATGCCCAAGTGTGAAATGCCACATCCTATATAATTGGCAGTTCTTTATTTTGATTGGAATTATCTCACCCAGCTCCAAAGAAATATAAATCAGGAGTAAAATGCAGGGAAGTGGGGTGAATGCCAAGTTTCCCTGGGGGCATTGTGGTTCATATCAGAGAGGTCCCCACTTTTCCTGTCTTGTATTTTTAATAAGTGGATAACAACAGCTCTGTTGACAAAATGCTAAACACTTGCACACGTTCCTTTAAACTCAACAAAACAGGTCTTGATTCTCAAAGGAATTATTTTTTTCTTCTGCCATACACCCTCTTCCCAGCAAGGTCTCATAAAACAATGCAAAATAGCCTGCAGAAAGCCACACATTTCCTACCACTTAATCATGGGCAGGCCAGGAAATCCAAGGAAAATCTGACTATGTTCCCTGGAGTTGTTTCATTCACAAGTGCATGAAATATCCAGGAAATTCACTGGAAATGAACTGCAAGCAGAATAACACATTCTTCCCAACCACTCTGCTAAGTGTGCAATGCTTTACAATTACTTTAAAACTTACAAGAAAATCATTCCGAGCTATTATTCTGCTTCTGGGTTGAAACACCAGTGTTTTAATGGTCACGGCACTGGCTATAAGACGTCAGCAAATACTGAAGAATTTTACCATCTATTTAGGTTGACAACACACCACCCTTCTTATTTCTACCACATCCTCGACAAAAGTGAACAAGAAAAGAAATCTAACTTTCAGGGGACACGGTTTCTCATTTACCCACAGTGCCTTCATGTTAATAAAAACAATGAACATCTGCTGTCTTTGGAGGGTGATGTGTAGTCTGTGAGATGTCTGAGAAGGTCAGAGAGGTTGCTGGTGGTCTTTGCCTCATTTACTTGGGTTGATCTGGCCCTGCTCAAGTGAGCTTCACTGTCTAGATCAGCGGGGGAACCTCATCTGCCTTCGGGGATTGTGCGGAAGTAAAAACGTAATCTGGCCACAACGCTGGTTAGAGGAGCGTGCCTGTGCGTGAGCGTGCGTGCGTGGAGGGTGGGTCCCTGCAGGTAGGGCAGCAAGCAGGCAAATAGGAAGTCTATTTATGCAAGTGACCTCCTTCTTGTTTTGCAAACACCTCACTGATAAAGAGGGAGAAAAATGAGGTGTTTAGACATTTTAGCAATTTTCCTCTTTCCAACGTAGTTACGCGAGCCTGCCAGTTCTGAACCTTAACTCGTGTATTCTTCAGCCTCAGTGTCTCAAAGTAATGCCAGTGCGGGAGTTGAGGCTGATGGCCTCTGGGTGGACGCATCTCGTGGGGCCCGACGTACCATTGCACTGCCCCGTGGAGGTGAGGCGGTAGCCAGGCTTGCAGTCACAGCGGTAGCTGCCGGCCGTGTTGATGCACTCCGCGTTGCGCTGGCACAGCGGGCCATTCTGACACTCGTCAATGTCTGCAAGCAGAAGAAAATTCAGTTTTGGGGGTTGAGTCAAAGAAGTCTGTCAGATTAAAACAGACTTTTCACTTAGCTTTACGGTCTCCGGGTGCATTATTTAGCTATAAGTGACTCAAATTTATCCTTCTTTACTAGCAAAGTGGTGCTCCACTGTGCATAAACACCACATTTTTAAAATTAGACACACAAGCTTAAATAGTGCACATTTCTTCTCTGAAATATAAATCATTTAAAGAGCAAACTGAGACCGATAGTAAGAAGAAGGAGATAGATGTTTCGCAAATGAAAGGGGGCTGCAAGATGGAGGGAGACAGCGGAGGAGAAGGAGAAATGAAACGAGCTAAGATGCGATGAGCATGCAAGGCTCTCACAATGGATGCGATCACCATATACTGCAAACGTGGACTAATACAATTTTTAAAACCAGTTTTTATTTCTTGGTTTTGATCCGCTCTACTGGAAAGACAGTGTGGAAGTTTGCAGCAGCCTTATTCATAATTGCCAGACCTTGAAAACAAGCAAGACATTCTTCAATGCATGATAAATAAACTGTGATACATCCGGACAATGGAATATAAATGAATGTTCTACATTTCTGAAATGAAATGAGCCATCGAGCCGTGAAAAGACATGGAAGAAACTTCAATGCATAGTACTAAGGGAAAGAAGCCGATATGAAAAGACTTGCACCTCAGGATACCATGGAAACGATGAAACTATGGAGAAGTCAAAAGATGTATGGTGCCCAGGAGCTGGGGAGAAGGGGGAATGAGCAGGTAGTGCATGGGAAAGGTCCAACAACGACAAGGTGACCCTACAGTGCTATCAAGCTGGGCCCATGGCATCACACACGTGTCCAAACCCACACAATGTCCAACAGCAGCGGGGAGCCCGACTGCAACCCAGACCTAAGGTGAGGAGATCTCAGTGCAGGTTCATTACCAAGTGCCATGTGGGCCTGGGGGCTCACAGGAAATCTCGGTGCCTTCCACTCAATTTTGCTGGGAACCTAAAACTGCTCTAGAAAATAGTCTATCTTAAAAAGCAGAGCGCGTGGAAGAGTGAAAACCCATTATCTGAATTTTCCACTTCAGTCATGTTTTTCATAAAGGCAGCTCCTTGATTGTGACTCTACACGGATTCTCATGATGCTCATATCTCTTAAAAAGGTCATTTGGGGCTGGGGTATCTTGGGCGTAGTGTATATTGTGTCGGGTGTGCACGGAGCCCTGGAGTGAACATCCAGAGCCACAGGCAGTCATGAAACTTGGCTGGCAGGGCCAGGACTTGATATGGGTATGGACTAACACCCTGGCAAGTCTGTACTTACTCCAAGCCCTGGATTTTAGGATTCAGTAGGGTTGCTTTTGTGTGAAAGGTGGTGAGGTTTGTAGAGTGGTGCATCTCAAACCTTAACGTCTACTTGGATCCCCTGGCAGCTTGGTAAGGGCAGATTCCAACTCCAAAGCCTGGCAAAGACCTGAGAGTCCCAGGTAGTGCAGGTGTGCCTGCCTGGTGCAGTGCTTTGAGCTGCAGGGCTGTAGAGACTCCTGCTTCAATTACTGCCCTAAGGCAGTCTGGACAAAGAAACCTAGCATGGGAGACTGCACATGAAACGGCTGAGACCAGCCTAACTCTCAGCATCACAGATGAGAACGCAGTGGATGCAGAGTGCTCCAGAGCACTGACTGCTCAGGAGGTTGTTTGCTTACTTGAAAAGAAAAGAATAGGCACCTAATGTGGTCAAATTCACAGCATCACAAAGTGACTGCGGAGTCCAGGCTAGACCCTGGAGCAGTCCAGCTACCTGTGCTTACTAAAGGGACAGCCTGGAATGCAGGTGGGGGCAGCCCCAGCACCAGGTCTGGGTTGTTAGGTGGAAGTTGGCTTAGCCAAAGACATCCACACAAGGGAGTGGCAGATCCATCATCAGACGCCTCTCGGGCAAGGGCTGCTGCGACAGGACACATGAGGACCGTCAACACCAGTGCCATCGAGTGGCAGAGTCCGTCTGAGGTGGGTGGACCGAGACTTTGCATGCAGCAGACATCAGAACAGCAAGCACTATGCCTGTCTTGCTATGATGGACCAGCACCACCACAGCCACTAGGCTGCCCTGCTCTTCAGGAGGAGTGTAAAGTCCTCTGAGAGTCCACTAGACCATCAGAGAGGCCCAGTGGTGTCCTGGACAAGCGCTTCTGCAATGCACAGCCTGAGATCTGACCACTCACATACCTGCAGATGGTGGCCCTGCGGGAGCTCCCTAAACCATTCCCAGACTCCATCCCAATTTCAGTGCTGCCAAGGCCTGTATTCAATCAACCTTCATTTTCTGATTTTGAGAGGCAAGAGTGTGTTGGGAAGCGGCTGAGCTTGATTAAACACTCACCTTGAAGATGAGTATTTTGGGAAATGGAAGCTGAAAGCTGGAGCACTTACTTGGTCACATCAGTGCCTGCTACGTGTGATGCTGACAGCTGCACACTTTTAACATCATGCATGGGACAAGGTCTAGGGCGACTGATGCTCACGTTTGGCCTTGCCCATGGTCTGGTCAAGGGCTGCTGCCTTAGCAAATAGATATGGCACGGGGCTGCCTGGGTCATGCTTCAAGAGGCCTCAGAATGGAAGAGCAGGGAGATGTAATGAGAAGGCAGCGGGCTCCGAGCCAGGTGCCTAGGGAAGAGTGTGGCTGGGGACGCCAGTACCCCCATCTATGAGATCATCTCCCACGGAGTCCCCTCTCCTCTCCCACAGCCATGCCTCCTCTGCAGGCACACGGTCCCAGATGCCTTCCTTAGCCTGGGATGGGAGCCAGGGTCTGGCTCGACTGGCTCCATAGAGAGGCTGTGCATGGCTATCACCCCATTCCCACAACCCACATGGAACTCAGGGCAAGGGACACGTGCCCACTTGGCTGCAGATCATCAAAAGCCTGGTAAGAAAGCTCAGCAAGGGTGTGGTTACTAATGGACTGTCACTGCTGTGGTATATAAGTTGCCCCGGGTTTAGATAAAAAGGCCTTTGTAACATTAAAACATTGACCCGCATGCTATAATACAAGCTCTCAGGGGTGATATCCCTTTCTGTTTTGCACAAAATTCTGCTAGAGGCCCAAAGTTCAAGTATTAAATATAAAATCATTCCAGTTATCCTAAGGCACAAGACATATTTAACACCCAGGAGCAACCCTTTTACTAAGATGTGAAAGGACACTTCTTCCCCAGACACAGGAAAAAGTATCAAGTGTTATAAGGAATGCTCAGAATCAGGGTATGTATACATGGCAATGCGAGGTAATACAAAAATGGAAAAAAAGCACCAATTTACAGGCACACCACACTGTTCACATAAAATCGAATTTGCTGTTCTTGCCATTTTGAAGTCTCTCATGCATGTGGGATATTTGCATTCACCTTGTTTTCACTGGGAGTCGCCAAGTCTCTGGGACAGAACGCCAACTTTGCGAGTCAGCTGAAGAGGACTGTACACTCACACCTGCGCTCAAACAACGTGATCCAAAGCGGTGCGTGTGACACACCCAGGAAGCCAGAGCTTTTCTATGGGCCAGAAAACCTAATACATCATGCGGCGGGGGAAGCAGGGGAAGGGGTCTTGCAACGCACAACCTGCTTTTTCCCCCAGGCTCTACTGATTTTTTTTTTTTTTTTTTTTTTGCATGAAATGCCATGTGGCTCTATGCCATGCCCTTCACTCTTTCTAGAGCTTGGTGCATTTCGGGAATTTCCCTGTTGTGCAATCTGGCGAGTCTGAGGCCAAGGAGCTCCTCCATCGGCTCCTTCTGGCTATGACACCGTCCCAGCCCGGCTCACCTTCACAAACCAGCAGCTTGTCGTTGTAGAAGAATCCCACGGGGCACTCACATCGGAAGCTGCCAACCATGTTGATGCACACGCCATTTTCACAGACCCCTGGGATCTCCCGGCACTCATCGATATCTAGGGACACAGCAGCCGTGTCTGAGTGACAAGGACAGGCTTGAAAGTGGGTGTGAGTGGCAGTGTGTGTGTGTCGGGGTGGTGACATGCAAGTAGGAGAAAGCAAAGAACAGTGAATTGAAACAACTACACCCCCTTCCGACACATGTGCATCTCTGTGGATTAAGTGTCCGTCTTCTTGGTTTTGTTTCAGGGCATCAACCCCATGATCACCAACTTCTCTGTCCTGCACCAGCTCATGTTTCCATTTTGCCCAACACACTCTTGGAGGAAAGAGGCCATTTCCTCCTGGAAGTCCCTGCACTCCACTCATCTGTGGAGCCACAGTGCCCGGTGGATACAGAAGTAGCTCCTAGCTGTACAAAGTTGAGGATCTCCCCAGTGCTACTCAGCTCCCCTTCCTCCCTCCGAAGTCTGCAGAAAGGAGGTAATGAGGTGCGGGCAGGTGGCTGGGCCTGAGTGTGAGGTCAGGCTCAGCACCACGGAGGATTGTCGCCGTTGACAGTGTGCTTCCTGAGCCCAGGGGCAGGTCTGCCTGCGACACCACAATTGTGCCAATCCTTCACACTCTGTGGGACAAATGCTCGGTGCTCTGTTTAAATTTGCTAAATTGAGAGCCAGTGTCTGGAAGCGGGTTGGTGAACGTAAACTGGGACTCAAGTAGGAGGCAAGTAGAGCTGACTACAGAGACTCATGGAGGGTCCTGCCCCTCATCTGGCTTGCTGGCCCCACCTGTCTTACCTGAACTCCAGGCCATTCAAGTGTCCTCTAAGATAAGAGTGGCAACAGCACTCCTAATAGCAATCGTGGCCTAATGTCTGGCTGTGTGGCCAGTATATTTCTCAAGCATGCAATCTGCATTTATTCACAGCCACTCTCTAGACACTGCAAGGGACTGCACCCACCTTCACCATTCAGGTGGTGCCGAGAGGCTGGGGAGAGGAGGGGCCTGCTAAAAGCCACCCAGCCAATCTGAGCAGAGGTAGGGCTAGATGCTACACACCTGCTAACAGGCAGGCCTGCCTCCTTTATGTTTTCTCACATCGCCAATGCACAATCTTTGTAGAGCTGCTAACAAAGGACTTGTCATTCTGGAGGGCCTGGCCATTAGGCCTGACAGAGGTGGACAACACACCTCGGCTGGGTGGGTAGGTAAAGTTCTGCCCCACAGCCACAGGTCTCCAGCTCACTGTGCTTCAGATCCTGCCTTGACCTAGTCCTGGCCTCTGCCAGGTTAGAAGGGGCGCCTACGGATACAGTCAATGTTCAAATTACCATGTTCACGTTGCCCTAAGTCCCCCTCAAAACCCTCCCCTCACCTCAAACACACTTGGCTCTAGCCTCTTTCTACAGCAGCTCTGGAGTCTTTTGTGAGTGTCTTTAGTTATGCTGTCCTGGCTGCCTCAATGTCTTGAATTGATTCAAAACATCTCCCTTTCATGGTCATTGTGACTTTGGGGAAGAGCCAGGAGTCTCACAGTGCCAGATCTAGTGACTACGGTGGAGGAGGACCCAGTGTCATGTTTTTATGAGCCTGCCTTTTTGTTGGATGGCGCTCGGCAGCAGCATTCACGTTTTTGATCATTCCTCATAAAGACACTCAGGACTGAGGATTTCCAGAGCTGCTGCAGAAGGTAAGTTCAAAGCGAGAGGGAGGATTTTGAAGGGGACTAATGGTGATGCTTCTCTCACTGTGATATATTTTTAAATTTAAACATTCACTGTGCATTGTGATTCCCCCTTTCTCTGCACAAGAGTTGTGAAAAGATGGTCCTTCCCTCCAGTGCAGCCTGCGAGAGCTGTTGCAGCATCAGCAGACTCACACCGGAAAGCTATCTTGTTCTAAAGGAGAAATCAAACAGGCCATTGATACATTTTAGGGCCTCTTTTTCAAGGTCAAATTTTGTTTGAAAGCAAACTGACATACTTAATGGAAAAAAAAAACCCAGCTTAGACTCTCAGAGGGTACACTGCAATTCTGAATACAGGCAATTATGTTTTTAGGTTTTCCACACCTTTGTCTTCATGTGGTTAAGTGGCCAGGTGGAACACCATCACAAGAATGTGGTATCAGCAAACAAAAACAATTCAGAAGCCATTCTTTTAGTGTGGATTAAAATATGAAATATTGTATTCATATTCATTTGTTTTAAATTAAGTGACATAGTCACCAAGGTAAACAGCAACAGGCTTAGTCAAATCTTTTGCCATCATGAGGCATAAGCGAGCAAAAAGACATATTAAAAATTTTTATCTTCTTTTCCTGTCTGGATTTTATTTGAATTTCTACTCGGAGAAGTTTATATTTTAAGACAAGATTAATAAACATGCTACAGATTTAGCCCCATATGAATGGACTTTATATGCCAACAATTCTAAGACCTTTCAGAAGGAGAGGATAAAGCTTAAGTAAAACAAAGTTTTTCAGTCATCTAAATATTTTGTCATGGTGGAATTTGGTAACAATAAGTATATTGCTAAATATCATGTTTCCAGTTTTCAAGAGCTAGAGGCGAACCAAGCTATGAGTCAGGACTGGGTTCTGGTCCCAGCTCTGTTATTCATTAGCTGGGTGGTCCTGGGCGAGTCCCTTCCCCTCTCTGGGCCTCTGTTTCCTCAACCGGAAAGCAAGGCATTTGGCCTCCGTGGTAGCTGGGGCCTTCTCGGCTCTACTAGCAGATGATACCGATGGTGCTCCAAGTCACTGCCCACTGCCAGCCTCGGAAGGCAAAACGTGCCCCAGGGCACGCCACATCCTCCTGGAGGACCAGTCCTGATGGAGACCACTTATCTTCCCATCACATATTCTAGGGAGATTAAAAGATCTGTTTTAGGAAGGGGAAAAACAAGGTGGCGAGGGCCAGGTGTTTCATGCCAACGTCATCTAGCAGTTTTTCTTTCCAAACCATGAAGTTTCTTTGGACGTTGTCTCAACGGCAGAGCCATATGGCTTTGGCACCCGGAGAGCCAGCCTGACTGCTGGGCCCGAGACCTGTTTTCTTAGACAAGGTCACTGGAAAGCCTGATGTGGGGTTTCAGTTTACTTATTAGGAGTAAGGTGATGTCTGCTACCAGACACAACTGTTCAGACTTGGAGGGCATTGCCTTTGTTGGCTGAACACTGTGCGGTGCTGGTGAATCTCGCATCTGCTAACTGGACCCCAGCTACCAGAGGAGAAGGAGGCCTCAGACAACAGACTTTTGTCTCACATGTGAAATCCACCAAGCAAATGACCTGAGAAAACCCGGTGTGAGATAAAACTGATGTGCAAGTCAGGCTGTGTCCTGCAGGAAAGGACTGGTGTGAAAAGTCATTAACCTCCTCTTACTCAACCAAATGTCAACTGGCCTTGCTCCCAGAACCTCTCCCCTTGTTGATGCCCAGGGTGGGTTCAGCTGAGCTTGACTGCAATTTTGTGAAAAGTTTCCCAGCTCCTTAATCACAAGCCACGAACGCTGCCAATGAGGTGGAGCCGCAAGGGTGTCTGCGTCGAGCTAAGAATCAGTGTTCCAACAAAGCTAAAGGCACTGGTCAACAGTTTTTCCTTCTAAGAAAAAAGCAAAGGAGAAAACAGAAAGTAGCAGTGCATGCTCCCTTTTTAATACAAGGACAAGACCAGAAAGTCCCGGCAGCGCCCACTACTCACCAACAGGCAAACCAGTGTAAATGTCAATGACAAACCCAGGCCGCTGGCTCCCACAGAGGGTGGCAAATTCGTCTGCAAAAATGAAACATAAGGGCAGTCAGTAAAGAGCAGGGATCAATGGAAAGAAATTACTTTCTACATATCCTGGAAAGGTAGTGGTAATCGGAAGACTTTAAAACAAAGGAGTAGGTCTGGAAACTCCTACAGATCCTGAGACAAAGCCTGAGACCTGCCCATGGGGTAGGAGGAGTCCCTGTACCACAGGTTTCGGTTGCTACGAGCTGCCTATCACCTGGTGCGGATCTGGCTCTTGTTCAGTTCTGAAATGAACCCAGGGACTGGCAAGGGGGCAACTCTGTAGGGCTGGAGGAAGGCTCACAGAGCCACTTTCCGGGTGGACTGAGGGAGACCTCAGCAAGTACTTAACAACACAGCTATGAGTGACGAAGGCTGACCGAGCAACCTCCATCTCTATTTCAGTTTTTAGACCTGATTATTTCACTTAGTATATAGAGTATTTCTATGAATTTCTCTGTCCCTTGCCTGAATTCATCACACTTGATAATAAGATGAACTAAATGCCACTGGTTGTTCCCTGACTGTGAGATTTGGTACTTCCCGATCATGACTGACTAGTAGAGTACAGTATCGAAGCTCAAGGTAGCCACTGCCTTACTGGTAAGGCCCAGTGAAAATTAGTAAAAAGTTTCTGGAAATATATTAATTAAAATGTAGAATGAGCCAGGTAAGGTGGCTTGTGCCTGTAGTCCCAGCTACTTGGGAGGCTGAGGCAGGAGGATCACTTGAGCCTAGGAGTTAGGGGCCAGCCTAGGCAACACAGCAAGACCTTGTCTCTAAAATGTCTGTATCTATATAAAACTAAAGTATGACAAGCTCTTCTTCTAATATTTTGTCCCTTAATCTGTAAGTTTCTACTTCTAACAAGTGTCACACCAGCTGACATTGGTCATCTAGGAAAATTACACAGACTCTCAAAATAAGGGCAGATTTAATAGCCAATGAAGGCCAAGGCTAGCTGTGAACAGAATTCAACATGGAGAGGAGGGCTTGCATTTGATATTAAGGGTACAGAGCTTCTTAAAGTCGACAGTCATTTCTGAAAGTAAATGCTAGTCCATACTGTGGTCTCCAATGCATCTGCCAGGCAAAGGTATCATGAGCTGTTAGGACAAAGTAGGAAACACTAGGACTTCTCTGCTGGTCTATTTAAAAATGAATTTAGTGTATATGTTATACATAGTTTACAAAAATAATAAGTGTGATTTTCAAGATAATTGAGAATGCACACACACATACATATGCACATATACTCTGACATGTAAGCATGCATGCCGAGTGTGTATAACCTCCAGATTTCTCACTGATGAGAATGCATGTTAAGAAGTTGTGAAGGCACTGTTCAAGATCGGGTGTCGGCAGACCTTTTCTTTAAGGGCCAGACAGTAAATATTTCGCAGGTCGCATGGTCTCTGTCAAAACTACCATGAAAGCAGCAGATAATGCATAAGTAAGTTGGTGTGGCTGTGTTCTAATAAAATGTTATTAATGGAACCAAAATTTGAAGCTCATATAACGTTCGTGTCAGGAAACATTACCGTGATTTTTTTTACCGCAACCATTTAAAATTTATCTGTGGGTCTTCCGTGGAGGGTGGGCCGGATTTGGCCCAGGAGTCTGTAGTCTGCCCTGCTCTTGAAATCTTTTGCAAAGCAGAGGTAAATCATAATCTAAGGGGTGCTTATTATATTATTTCGTGAGCACACAATGGATGGGATAGTATATCTGCCTCAAAAAGAATACTGAATTGTGTGCATGGCCAGGTAGAATGAAATTTAATGTTTTACATATCACTGTGTGGAACAGGGTAGGTTCTACAGGGATGCCTTCAACACCTGGCGTGACAATTTCCCTTACCCTGTGTCATGACATTGGTTCACAATGCCCTCTTAATGTCTCTGAAATGTAATGTGCACCATGTGATATAGGAACATTGCACTGAAGTGTTTGGCTTCATTCATTTAAAGGATATAATTTAACTATTTAAAAAATAACATTGTGTAACTCTTTCCTTCTATAAGAATGTAAGAAGAAACTTCTCTCCAGTCAAGAAACATTAAGACAAGCTGCTCTTTCCTTTGGTGTTTCATTTGCTTTACGGCTGCCGAACACTTACACTAGATCCTGTCTCCCTTTCCAAATGAGCCGCTAGAAACTTTGGAGCCAAAATCATTGCTCATCTCGGGCAGGCCAGCTCGAATCCCCGGCAGACATTCTGTGTACTTGCCTTGCTCCATGGATAACTTTCTTACTCTTGTTTGCCATTTGCCTTATGCTTCTCACTTTACGTTTACATCTTTGGAGGCTGCCCCCGAGTGTGTGTGTGGGGGAGGAGCAAGTCTAATTTTACGTAAGTAAAAAGGCAAAAAATTATGGTTCACTCATTTACTGTACTGGATGCCTAGTGCTTCCAGTCTTCATTCTATGGCAAACTCTGAGGTGACAAGAACAATGTTTATGCTTTTGTGAGGCTCTGGGTCTCCAGGTCTGGTTGTGAATTAGGGCATCGATTAGAAAGCCTGATCTGGGACTCAACTGGAAGGCTGAGCTGGAAGGATCAAGGTCAACTGTGAATTGAAATTTGCCTTTGTGAGTCATTGTTTAAAAATGAAGATTCGCCACGCAGCCATTTCTTCCTTTGCTGAGACCTGCTCCCCCAGCGATTCACGGGTCATTTATCAACCTGTAACTTTGGCGACAGTGAAATTAAGATTCACCTGTGCTCGGGATGGGACATTGCTCGCAGGGCTTGTTCCAGGCCCTGCCGATGTTGTAGGAACAGCAGCACATCTTCTTGGTCATGTTGAACAGCAGTTCTCCGTCACAGGTCTGGTTGTCGGCGTAGTAGTTTCTGTAGCATAAGCTTCTTCTCATGTCTGGACCAAAGGACACAGGGACCGGTGATGTCGTGGGGGAAACACACAAGCTTTCAGGGCCAAAAACAAGTTCTTTTGACTTTGATACAGGCAGGAACAGGTTTCCAGACACAACTTTTTAGCTAACTATGCTGCTGAAAGAAAAGGACTTTGAGAAATGAATTCCCTGGTATTCTGTGCCACAGGACTAAGTCATGCTGTAGCTGCAATGTTAATAAATTTTACATGACTCTCTACCCAGTCTCCTGGTAACAATTCCCCACTGCTCTTTGGCAGCAAGTCTCTTATTTCCGACTCATGATGTTTTAATACTGTGGGCCAGTGCAGTAAATATAATCACATAAAGATACGCCCGAAAGTCAAACAAAAGAAGGACTATGAAACTGTTGTTTGGGATTTTCCAACATTACATTGTGAAGAAAACTCCCCACCTCCCACACAAGGCGGTGAAGAATGCCAAGCGGACGGTGGGCAGAGGCCTCCCTCCCCGAGGCAGGACAGAGTGGCAGCGCCCAGCCTGAGGAGCAGCAGGGCACTGCGGGCCCAGAGAGACTGGACCTTGCTGACAAGAACCGAACAGGCCCAGCTGGAAGAGCCTGAGCTTACCCATGCAGTTATTTCCCCCATTCACTTGCATGTAGTCTGGGGGGCAGATGCAGGTGTAGTTGCCGACGGTGTTGTAGCACGTCCCTGGCCCACAGATCCCAGGAGTCTCACATTCGTTCACGTCTAGAATCCAAACAGAAAGAGGTTGGTGAATACAGACCCGTCACTCTGTGCAATGCCCCGGTGTGTAGTGTCAACATATGCCGTGATGACACAGGAGAAATCCCACAGGGGACCTTGAAATCAGGATGAGAAAAGCGGAAGTCTAGTTAGTTCTTTGGGGCTTTTGATCTGGGCAAATGTGTACCTTTCCAGGAAAACAGGTTTTAGAAAGGAACTCTTGCCTTCTGACACAAATCACTAATAAATATGTCCATAATATCCTCAATGGAATACAGAGTTGGAACTGTGGAGACATTCGTTGTAATTCTCAGAGATTCTTCAGAATAACAACAATAGACATCATGTGTTCACAAAATCTATAGAAGTGTCCAATGCATCCTGAAGCCGTCAACAATCAGCTGCATGAATCTGCACTGGTAAGGCAACATGGAAGAGGTATTTCCCTGCCCCGCCACCACCCCATTCCACAGGCATTGGCTCTGCTCTTGGTCAATTCCGTGAGTCTGAGGGGCTTAACTAATATTTAACAAGGTTGTCACTGTCTGTGTATAATAAACCGATGGGACAGCAAGGGGTTCTTTTGCCTCACTGGCTCTGTGACTCCTGTATGCAGATAAAAACCACCTCTCCCACCTGGTCCATGCCACTATCCTCTGTCTTTAAGTGAAGAGGATGAGCAGGGCCATCACTGTGTCATCAAGCCAAAAGCGTGCCTTCTGTAGAAGCTCAGCTAGATGCACCGCTGCAGGGACTAAGTGGCCAAGGACAAGGAGAGGAACCGGGCCGCCCTGAACACAGACACTGCTGAAACGCGGCCAGTGCTGCTCTAATAACAGTGGCTTTTCTGAAGAGCACGGAAAACTCTTTTGTAGGCATAAATGGGACACATGCCCAGCATAATAAAACTCCACTTTTCTCAGGAAAAGTGGGAGATTTCGGACTTATTGGAAATGACATCATTTCAAGAACACTAAGGCAAGCTGCCACATGTACAGCGTATTTCCCTGGCTGTGTTCAAGTTAAGACCATTGTGCTACATGTCTAAACCCTCCTTTTCCGGGTAACTGTACACTGGTTTTTCAGGTCAGTCCTGGACATGGGAAAGAAAAGATCCTTCTGCAAAGGCCACTCACCGTCACACACCCGCGTGTCCTCGTTCAGATAGTAGCCTGTTGGACAGCGGCACTGGAAACTGCCGAAGGTGTTGATGCATTTCCCTCCCTGGCACAGCCCCGGGAGCTCCTGGCACTCGTCAATATCTGCCAGCAGGGAAAGAGAGGCACCTCAGCACTGTGCACAAACCCCGGGATGCAGAGGGGCACACTTCACCACAAAGGAAACAGAAATACCTTCCAATATAACAGTGATGGGGTTTGGACGGAAACCTTCTCCTCCAGGGCAAAGAATTTTGTACTCCGCTATTGAAACAAGAAAAAATGAAATCAAAGGGAATTCCTTTGAATCTAGAATGTTTAGAAATAATACTCCCGAGAGAAATTCTGCCATTCCAGCCAGAGCTACTCACTTTCAGGAATCATTAGCCCCCACTCCACCCACCTCAAGTAAGGTAACTTCTTTGTCTATATTTATCATTTTCAATGGCTCTGCCATGTGTCCCAGTGGTTCTCGGTCTTGGGATACTCCAACTTATCTCCTGGCCTTATATTCGTATATCCTTGTGAATTCTTTTGCTCCATATCTCCATTACTATTTCTTTTAAAAGATTTTCTTTCCTGTCTTATTGTCTAATGAGTTCTGTGCCCATGGTTAGTTTCACTCAGTTTTGCTGCCTGGGAAGTACAACTTCCTTCAGGAATGGTCATGAGCATGCCTCTAAAACTCTTTCCAAACACAGCCTTAGGCCTTACAGCTCTTCTCTCCAACCTTGCCTGGAAAATCTTTAAGTAACACTCTCTGCTTCTCACTCGGATTGAAGTGAGATGCTGGCTGCCCCACCTGAGTATTCAGAGTGAGCCACATGGGGAGATTTCTGAGTCTCTCACAGGGCCAAAGTGACTGTTCTTTCCTGCTCTGTGCATAGAGACTGCGGGTAGCTCCCCCCCACAGCCAACAGGAGACAGGAAGCTGCTCACTTACACGTGTTCACAGCAGGGCACACTTCACAGGGGGTGCCCCAGGCTCTCCCCAGAGAGCAGCAGCAGGAAGCCTTGGAGACACCAACTCCGATCTCGTTGCTGCAGGCTGTGTCTCCGTTGTCCCCCCGGGGCCGGATATCCAGATAGCAATTTCCGGAGCGGGTATCTGTTTCCCATAGACAAACAAGAAAGTGTCAATCCGATTCATTCTATCTGAGGGTTGAAAATATGAACTCATTTCCAAAACTGTTTAAAAGCCAGAATTGACATTTACTAAGAATCTGAAAAAAGCATGCAAGAATATATAGTATACCAGGAATTTTGTACCTGAGGATACAAATCAGATTTTGGAAATGTTCCAGCTTCTATATTATTACTTAAATGGTGAAAATGGAATGTTTAATGCTGCTTTAAAAACATAAACAGTGCTCATCTCTGGCAAGTTTTGAAGATCTTACCAACACAGCCAACTCGAGTTGGATTCAGCTCAAAATCAGGTGGACAATCGCAGGTGTAGCTGCCTGGGGTGTTGACACAGTTTCCACTGATGCATGTGGTGGGGTCCAGGCACTCATTAACATCTACAGCCAAACAGCCACAGAATTAGCTCGGAAACCTCCAGGCTGACACCACCACAGATGGCAGCACCAAGTCTGGGGCTCCCAGCAAGAGTCTGAGTCGCAGCTCACAATGTCATCTAGAAACGCAGTCTTCCACCTTTGAAACAGAACCTCTTGGGAGGGAAGGAAGTCACAGTCTTGGATCCTGGAACATAATTTTCCTCCCCTGGAACATATCTGCCGCTCCAAGTTGTCATTGGGATAAAATATAATTCTGGAACTAGGAGAGATAGTCCCGTGAAGGTAATGAAGGCAAAACATGGCTGTGACCTGGGTCAAGCAAAGTTCAGGCACAGGGCGTATTTCCAGGGGACCCTCAAGCATGGGCAACTTCTGACTCCCACCCCCATGTCTGAGGCTGACTGTGTTTCTCCAAGCATGCAAAGTGTCTCTCTCCATCCTCGATGCTGAGTTAGTATTTCCCTTTCACTTTCTATTCCAAAAATACACAGGGAATTCCATGTCTTCAGGACATGGGTTTTGGCAAATTCCACCTCTGTACAATCCTTTTGTCTGTTTTGAACACTTAGAAAATACTCAAAACTAGACAAACAGATTCAGACAAAATAGACTGGGACTCCCTGTCCCAGGGTCCTCCCTGTGGAAATGGTAACCTCCAGTGGATTCTACAGTAGGTGATTCTTTTGCTCTAATCCCATGTGAACTTGGACAGAACTTGGATGGGACTCAGGAATTTGGACTGTGTGTTCTGACCAACGGCAACAAGGCCAGGATGACACACACAGAGGCCTGAGCTGGGCAGAGGGTCTGGACCAGGGTTGTCTGCTAGGGGCCCCTTTGGGGCCAGGTTACTTTGCCGACAACCTAGGGATGATGGATACCTGGGGAGGGCATCTGTGAGGAGGGGTGTGGGCCAGCTCCTGTGTCAGAGCCTACCTGGGTGTCTGAAAACAAACCCAGATTTTCCCTCAAGTTCTGGGCTCCTCCAGCCTGGAACTTGAACCCCAGCATCTGGGATCAGAGGGCAGATGAGGAAGGGAGGTGCAGGTGGCTGCCAGGGGCTTTGCTCAGCCCCTAAGAGCGCAGAGCAGCAGTCTGCTGGTGCCTGGGGCCTTTGGATTTGTTTTCTTCTCTTCCCTGAGCATCCTCCGCTCCACAAGAACACGACTCCAACACTGGACTTGGGTCGCTGGGCTTCGTGTGCAGGGCCCGTGGTGAACCCAGCAGGGGCCCGGTGGGAGGAAGGGACTGTGATGGAAGGTGCGAGAAGCGTCCCAGCGTGGGGCTTTCCAAAGGAAGCTGACACTGACCCCAACGAGGACAGGAAATGGCTGGGAGGCCACAGCGCCCAGCACCTGGGAACCTTCCTCCTCCGAAGCCAGGAGCTTTGTTTGGGGTCTCGTGTGGTCCCCGGGATGCCCCAATGGCCAGGGCGGCCAGGACGCCTGGGAGCCAGCTGCATGGGAATGGACGCCTCACCTGTGCAGTTGCCGCCGCTCCTGTCTAGCTCGTAGCCGATGTCACATTCGCAGCGGAACAGGCCAGGAAGGTTGTGGCAAGTTCCAAAGACACAGATGCTCGGGAGGGAGCACTCGTCGATATCTGGGGGAGGCAAAATGGGAAGAGGTGAGGCCATTGCTTTTTTATAAAGAAACTGCTTAGTGTGCAATGACTGATATTAGAATTGGGACAAGAAAGTCTACCTGACAGCAATCTGGGCACTTTTCCTCTGGATTTTCAGATAATTTATCACACACAGGGATATCTCATTAGTGACAGGTTCATTTCCTTGGCCCCTATTACCTTCCAAGCACTGTGCTAAACATTTTATATATATATAATTCATGGTCTTTCATGTGAGTCCACATACATATTTTCAAGTAAGAGCCACAATGGCCACACCAGACTAAATTCTTTAGATGTTCTTACCTAGCTACTGGCTATTTGCGTTGGGAGTTCAAATGTTAAGAAGCAGAGAGTGTTTTCCTTGTGGTAACTCTGAGGTAGTCAGTTTTACAATCATCTGTCCCGTGTGTGTGTGTGTGTGTGTGTGTGTGTGTGTGTGTCTTGATGTTTTACTGTTTACTGCTCAGAGAGGTCTGAAAACTGCAGACTCCCCTCCCAGGCCTCTGTCTCTGCCTCACACTCGCCGTGTCCTTGTGGAGTTGGTACCTGGGCACATTTTCAGACTTGGGACTGGCTTTAAATAGCCACCAACACCCTGCCAGCAATGACTTATATTAAGAACAAACAAATAAACAAACAAAAGGTTCCCTTATAGCATGAAGAGAAGCAAAACTTTCACTGTGACTATTTATGTTACCAGACGTGGCCTGGTACCTGTTTTCCTTGGGTATTTGGAGTAGCAAAAGTAAACAAGGCATTGGGCATATGATCAAGAGCATAATCTAGTTTCTTGCCATAAGGGCGTTTATATTGCATATTTAATGTAAACTGCATATTTAATGTAAATTGTATAATGAACACTCAATAGTCCCAAAACAAAGAAAAGTATTTACATAAAAATACATGAGGAAGACAGTATATACCTCTTAAAGACCAGTTTTGAGTTCCTGTCTTATTAACAAGGAACAACTATTAGCTAATATATCAATCAAGGCCTTGTTTAAACTTCTGTCAATTGTTATCATTTGTTTATTTCTACTGAAATCTTTTTAGTTCACGTAGGCACTAATTATTTTCAAATATGGAGGATGTGCTTAAATTTGACAGTTGTGGGTAAAAAGGAAAATCTTGTGCTTCCTAACTGGATCCGTCCTGAGCTAGCAGGTCCCCAGGACCCGTCCGCCTGACCAAGGTTTCACAGGAAGACATGCTGTACCCACATGCCATGATTCCAAGGAGTCCCATGGAAGAGATCTGCAAAATGCTCTCCCATGTCGGTGTGTGTTAGATATTTAGAGGGCATTCCGAGGCTCTCAGGACATTAACCTGCATGTCTGCATGGGGAAGGCTGTCTCTGTCACTATGACAACACCTTTACTTCTAGAAAACCACCGCAGCAGAAGCGAACTAGTGTTCCGTATTGGTAGAGGTAATCCTCCCTCAGAACAGGGGGCTCCTCTCCCCAGCAAGAGGGACACATGGGCTGCACTGAGTTGACTGGACGCGTCTCCTCCTGCTCTCTCTCTCCTGAACAATGGCGCTGCTGGACACCATCTGGCCAGGCTGGGTGTAGCTACGACCAAAGAGAAACCACCCCGTTGGGGTCCTGACCCCTCCACAAACCCACTGCAGCAGCTCAGCTGTGACGTGAAAACACCCCGGTTTGGAAACAGGAAAGGGCGGGCATGTAGCCTCCAGTTACCTTCACAGGCCTTCCCGTCAGCGCTGGGCACGAAGCCCATGTCGCACTCGCAGCGGTAGCCGCCCGGGGCGTTGAGGCACTGGCCGTTGCCGCAGAGGTTCAGGTTCTCCGAGCACTCGTCCAGGTCTGTGGGCGGAAAGGACCCCAGTTACCCTTCTTCAGGCGGGGGTTTTCCAATCCCTCAGGCCCCACAGAGCCTCTAAGTCTCAACTTCCTGAGTGTAGCTGTGTTTTCAGAGCTTCTATCTGCTATGCTTAAACTCACTTGTTCTTCTCTTCTGAATGCTCTGTGCAATGAACAGGGGCTCAGATGCAGGGCCCTGAGGGTGAACGGGCCCTAGTGTGGTAAAGCCCGCAGCAAGCCCAGAGAGTTATTCAGACGTGAGTCTTTTCTCAGCCTTGTGCTTACGGGGCATCTTGCTAGCAAAGTGCTCAGGGTAAACAAATGTTTGCAGCTACACCCTTAATGGGTCTCACTCTTTTATTGAATCCCAAGCCCTCACATAAAAAGTGCTGCCCACGGACAGTGTATATGTAACTATGTATGACTTATACGACCCGTTCTCAATCATACATATTTAAGTATACGGAGCAGTCCATGTTAATTCTGTGACTACCAACTGAAGCCAGGAAGAAAGAAATTTTTACGAATACATTCTACAACCGGAAGTGAACAAATTCCTTACAAACCAGTTCAACCATGTACTGATAAATTTTTTAAAAAGAAACCACAACTTATAAATTATAAAAACAGTACTTATGGAATTCTTATACCAATATGGAATGATGATGATAATGGTTAACAGGAGGAAATTACATACTGTATAGAAATATATACTGTTCTTCTAATCTAGAGAATCACATCCTTTTTCATTCCTTACATTAGCTTCCTATAGCCAGCTTATCCTCAATGTGGCATGGGAAGCAAATCATCAGTGAGAAACAGGCACACAAAAGTGAAGGCATACAACAGGAAGTGTGGTTTGTTTTAAACTAATGGCATCTTTTTTATAGTAACACATACCATATACATATGTACTATATATACTACATACTACACTATACTACAGAGAGAGAGACAGACAGACAGACAGAGACTAAAGGAGAGGCTGAGCGTTAGTTTCTGAGGTCTCCTGGCTCCACATTTTCATTCCATAGGGATCGAGTCTTAAACAAATACTCTTCTGCTAACAGACCCAGCCTTCAACAAAACTTGCAGGTCTGGAGCCTGGGGTGTCCCTTGCTCCTGCACCCCAGTTTCCAGGGCCGTTTCCGGCGTACACCCACCTGTGCACGTGAAGCCGTCACCCGTGTACCCCTCCTTGCAGAGGCACCGGTAGGACCCCATGGTGTTCTTGCAGTCCGCGTGCTGGCTGCACATGTGGGTTCCATTGGAGCACTCGTCCAGGTCTTGAGGAAAATGGTGGCATCATTATTCAGTGTGGCATTGAAATTCAGTAACGCACACATTACATTTGAATGAAAGAATGAATATTCCCATATTTACAACCCACACAGTTCGCGGTGAGCAATTTCTGTTGTTTTCCAATTCACCTGTGCACTTTATGCCATCTCCAATCCAACCGGGGCTGCAGCTACATTTGAAGCTTCCCGCGGTGTTGGCGCACACAGCATGCCTGCCACAGTTGTGTGCTCCAATTTCACACTCATTGATGTCTGCAAGAACAACCAGTAGTTTAGCAGATGTTGGGCGAAATGTCTTTTTGCAGCTTTAAATAACTTGGCAATATTAAAAAACTGACTTGACCCAGTATTGCACAAATCGTTTAGCATTCACACTTACACCATATGTATATGGAACAAGTTTACCTTTCAATCTGTAAAGAAAGAGTAATATGATAGTACTTGGCATTGCTAGTGCTAATTATTTTCTATATCTTAATATAAGTGTCCAATCACTGCAAAGCAAAATAACCTCTTTCCAGGTGAAGACCTTAAAAGTGAGTTGCCTTGTGTCCTAGAGTACTACTGCTATGGTCACATGTTTCTATTGCCAGTATGTTATTAAGACAATTGTAGAGTAATGATGTGCATTGTTTTCCTACTCTCTATAGACATAGGAATACCATGCCTTTGTCATATTAGAAAATTTGAGTCATATATATACAAAATATATTTTATTCTTAAGTTTAAAACATTATTATTTAATTACACTTCTATAAAAATTTTATTTTGGTATTGCCAATTCAAGCATATGCAGAAAATGTCCCTTGACACAGTATGTGAATCATCTTTTCTGGCTACTTAGAGTCCTTGAACACCAGAGAACAACCATGCCCTTCTTGCATATTTCATATAAAACTCAAGTCAACCCAGTAGAAATCTTGTCAGAATAAAGAGTACCAGATTAGGGTCATATTGCTAAAATAGTTCCAAATTCTCCATTCTCCAAAATTTTACTTCCAAATTTAGCCAAGATAGAATATATAAAAGTGTTATAGAAACAATATAAAGCATGGAGCAAAATAGGATCTGTTCCCTGAAATTAACCTATTATAATAATGGGTTATACTCATAATCAGTTTGTCATTTACTAAGACCCAGGAGTCATAGAGATGATACTATGACTTTAGATGGAAGCCAATATGTCATACAAAACTCAGGTCAAGAGGACAATGTTGGGAGAATGTCCAGGGATCACCTGAATAGTGGCATGAGAAAGAACTGTGTTTACCCTTTCATTTACTTTGGAAGCCCAAATTTTTAATAATTTGAAAGTGTTTGGAAACCTGGTGTTTGCAAATGTTCCATTGGCAGCCCTGTGGTCCTGGGGTCATTGGCTTCTTCATAACTTCTGGAACAAACATGAACTAAAGGAAAATGTTTTATAATGTCACTGACCATCACAAGGAGGGGACAGGTCTGGAAGAATGTCCTTCTGATGAGGACATGATGCTAAGGCACTGCATGGGTGAATCTGAATGTCCTTTGGTGGCCACATGACCTAGTGAGTTTAGGGCAGTGAGGGGAGGCACACAGCTCAGACCTGGGACTGGGGGCATGAGCCAAGGGAATAACTGACCACAGCACATTCCAAGGGCAAGAGGAGGAAGACGGAGGCCGGGACCAGGGTGGGAAGCGGGCACAGGAGCCGGGGAAAGTAACCCTCCTGAACCCGGCCCAACAGACTCTGCAGAGTGCTTCTCGCTGCTCCCAAGCAGGGAAGGGACAGGACTTTCGCGCTCAGATAATGGCACAGATACAAGCCACCGATTCTGAGGAGCCCTGCCTTGATGTCTGCTTGCCCTGACATCTGGCCAGTCACCTCAGGTGGAAACAAAGAGGATCACTACATGCATATTAGGGCCCCAGATATTACACAATGGAGGAACTAAGTGGGAGGAGCTCAGTTCCATTCTCTGGATCATCAGCATCTCAGGGAGGAGACAGAGGTTGGGCCCTTTACCCAGCATAGACTCAGCAGGACTGCCTGGGACTCAGTTTCCCTGCCTTTGATTCACACTCTTCCCCTGGGACACAGCTGCCCAACTGAGCTTGTTTCTTAGGAACTTCAGGATTTTCTTCTAAATCTTGTATTACAGAATTCTCAAAATATCAGTGAATATTTACAAATTTATAGAAATAGTCATATATCTCTTCTAAGCACTGCCTACTGATCTAGTAAAGCTGCAGTCTTTCCTTCTGATTTCCTAATCGCTAACAATAGCCTCACTGTCATATGCCTTTAACCTCCCATATTTAATGTGGCATTTAATAAAATTGCTATTTCTTTGAAAAGAGAAGTCTTCTTCCTTTTTTATTCTTAGTAATATGTTAATATAAAATTCTACGACAAGAAGATTTTTAAACAATTTTACTGCAATGCTTTCAAGATAGAAAGAAATTACATTTGCAAGGTGCTGTTTCATGGCCATCGGGGTAATAGGAAAGAGTAACTGAAGAGCCGATATTGAATTCTCTACTTCGTGAATATCTGTACAAGCCATCATCCCAATGCCTTATGCTCTCCGTATATAGCAAGTGAGTCAGAAAGACAACATGATCATGGAGTGGAAAGGCATTTCTGAGTAAAAAGTTCTTGCGTGTGTGGTATGTGCAAATCTGAGCCAATTTTCATTGTTTCCATGGCAGACTTGGATCTGGGAATGCACGTTATTATAAAAGTGAACAGGAGGAGAAACTGAGTTATAAGGAAACAAGCAAACAAAAGTGCTATACTGAACCACTCTTCAATAATGTGAAGGGAACACAGCGCATGCTTGCCAAAAGCATCGCTCTGGACAAATGTTCTCTTTCCTCCACAACTTTGCTTCAGACAGAAAATTCCTTTCAAGATTAAGTGTAAGCCAAGAAAAGCAAAGAAATTCAAATTTCAGGCTGACACTGCAGCCCCCTGAACCCCACCATTTCTCCATTCCAGATGCAAAGACCCTCTGGGCCCGGCCCAAATGAAGGGCAAGGGCGTGGCCGGGAAGACCCAGGGGTGGGTTCTGCGAGTCCCCTGGGAGTCTGCTGTTCAGTGCTCTGAGCTGCCCTGGCTTCCCTCGACTATCACGCAGGGAGAGGCTGTGCCACCCCACAAACACTGTTCCACCCCCTCCACGCCCCTCTCGTGGACCCGGATCTCCAGGAGGGGCACAGTACCAATCTCCTCCATCAGAGGTGGAGGAAGAGGGTGTGACACCAAAGGAAAGGCCAAACACAAAGGCTACTTGGATTTCTTAATTTGGATCAAAATTTAGGCCAAACATTTAACTGAACACCCATGGAGTTTTCACAGGCTGAGGGCCAGAGGATGGAGGAGAACGAGCTGCGATAAGAAACTGGAAGGAAATGCACACAAGTTCCCTCCAACTGCTGGGGGCTGATGTATGTGGTTCTCTCCCATGGACTGAGACCCACCAGAAACATTCCTCATGTGAAACGAACCAGAGAGCTTGACAAGTGCATTCACTCCGAAATCCTGAGGTTTTCACTGAAAACAATTCTGATTTTACTCCACTTAAGGCAGGCTGTGCTCACTAAGCAGGCACGAGTTGGGAGGGAGGTCATCCCAGTGAGCTTATGGATGCCAAGATGGCAACCGTGGGCCAACCAAGATGGCAACCATGTGCCAACCAAGATGGCAACTGTACGCCAGTGGCTCATGTTTCTCTTCTCCCAAGGACAGTTCCATAGAATGGGCAGTGAAAGACTTGCACTGGGTTGCAGCACTGTTTCAATCCAGCCACTTTGGCCAAGGAGAAAGGGCTGCGTTGTAGGCTCCAAGCAAAAGCACATTCTCTCTCCATTAAGTCAAACATTCCCCTGGGCAGTACCCACAATCTGGACAAAGCTTCCAGGGAAAAAAAGAAGCCATTCGCATCCATGTGGGCTGGGAATGTAAGTCAGTGGGTGGATTCTTAACACTGCCGAAGTGACTGGGGGAAAACATGTTTATTTGTTAAAATGGAAACAATCAGTAATGACAAGGGAGCTGAAATATTTAGACAGAGCTGTAATGGAGCCCAGAGGACATTTTTTAGTTCCTGTGAAAGAAAAAAATTCCTCCTTGTGAAATAGCATGCATGTTTTTATAATTCCTTTCCAAGGTACTCATTTAAAAAACTGTCTAAATAAATAAATAAGTGGATGTATTTCTTTTGTGTATTGTCACAACATGGTCCCCATGTCTGTTCTTGCTGGTATTTGTCGTGTGCCTTGGTACATATCTTCAGGTACATCTGCTGCCTGGGATATTATAAACATTTGTCTTTCACGTGACTATCTCCAGGGTCAACTGATGGTGTTGTGAATGACATTTTAAACCAAATGCAGGCTAAAAGAGCCCTAGTTACATGGAGTTTTTTAAAAAAACATTTTGGCCCAGATTTTTAAAAACTTGTTTTTGAGTGTACCAAACTTTCTGCCAGTTCCTGTTTGAGTAAGTCATTTGCAAGCCAACGTGACACCATAGGTTGCTAATAACAGCATTCACAGAAGGATTTTTTCTCCTCTCTCTAATGAAGCCCTTCGTGAGTGACCCCATAAGTCACAGTCCTATCATTTACCCGTGGGGACATCTGATAATCACACAGCATCCTGGTTATAGGCCAGTGGAAGACCTAGGAGTAAAACCTAGGGTTCGCTCCTTTCAGTAAGGATAAAACACACCATGCCACTGTGATATCAAGGACCCAAGAGAGCCAAATCTCCCTACAGTGCTAACTGGATTTGATCAAACTGGGGGAAGGAAGGACACTTGCCCTCAGAAAGGACAGAGTGTTTCCTCAACTTCCTGCTTCGGTTCCTGTTCATGTCACTTACTACAAGGTTGCTATTGTTCATGGAAAACTGATGTCATCTCATCTCCCATGTAGCCCACAGCCCTTGTCACTGGTCTCAATAACTCTGCAAATGTAATTATGAAAAGCCAGCCTTCCAATATGCACAAGAAAATTTTCCTTCTTTAAACTGATTTCAAGCATGTATCAGTGAACCAGGAATACAGAACTTTTGCTGGACTAGAAGTTAAGTTTTTTGATAGAATGGCCTCTAGACACAGTGCCTGTATGCCTCATTGGATTGGACAGCCCGAGCGCCTATGCACTGGCCAGCACCGTGCCAAGGGTGTTATAACCATTAGATCTCATTCGCCTAAAATGATACTGATAGGGCGTGAAAATTAAAGTGTTCCTGGTAAGAGTCCTGAAGTAATCAGCCACTGCACATGCTCCAGTTAGCTGGAATCGGAGAATGAAATTCTAGAGATGCTTTTTTATAGGCAACAAAGACAGTCCTGTGAGATTCAATTTTCCCTTCATATGCATCATTTCAAACGCATTGGATTGCAGTGAGATTGGCTAAGCCAGACAACAGTCTTACCCTTCGCTGTGTAAAACAGTGCAGAACTATCCTACCTGCCTCTTCATTACTGTCAGACCACCATCCCTTACAGAGTGCTGTGTTTACACTGGGAGCTAAAAATAAAGCTTGACCCACAGACAGACTGAGCTATATAGACAGATGGGCCATGGGGGAGCCAAGAGTGTCAGCACTGGGCCATTTATCAGAGTGGACACCCAGCCAGGCTTCACATGAGAATATCACAGCAAATAAGAACAGAGTCCAACTTTCTTCTTCTCTCTATGATTTGGCTAGAACTTAGCATCTCGGGACCAACAGTAACATTACCGTCATTGTCCTATATATCAGAAAATTTGACACCTGGTACTACGGCCAGTTTTTAACAATTTAAATATATTTTGGTGCTTTCTTGAAATGTGCTGATATAATTAAGAGGAGGATCTGTACATTTTACCACACTGCCCATCTGCAAATATTTTAATGTTTGTTTTAAGCCATGAGGGCCTGCCAAACTGGCTTTTGGAATTAAAGTCTGTTATTTGCACACACAAAAAATTACACAGTTACCTAATTCAAGTGCACCATGGTCTCTGTGATGTTTTCAATTATGTTAGATGCCATAACGTGTTACATTAATATAAGTCACTCCAGTAAAAGTTTATTGTGCTACCCTATGTACTTAGCATCACTGCCTCACGTCTGAAAACACCAACTGATGGTTAGGAAACAATGTCACTACCACAGAGTGACTTTTCCCACTTGGCCTTTAATAGGACAGTCTCTTAAAAATATTGGGAAAGATACTGTCAGGTGCTTTTGCTATTAGACCAGCAAAACTGTAACTGGTTCAATTATCACTTTGTAAATTTATTAAGCCCCGTGAACAAAGACAGAAATCAATACATCAACAGTGCCCTAATTTGAGGGACTGAAAGTCTGATGAGAACTGATAAAGCATATAAACTGTATGACGTGCTTCTTTGGAAGGTACTTTCAGTTATAAAACCTTAAATTCAGTCTTGAAAAAGAAGGTTATTGCGAAAGGCTTGCTTTTTCATTAAAGTATAATCAAAATGAATGTTTGAGCATTACAATGTTTATTACTTTGATATCAAAATGTGACTTTAGCCTCACATAAACTGTATCATTTACACTGTTAATGTATTTGACGTATCTTTTTCACAGATAAAGGAAAAAAACTTCAACTTGCATCCAACATGAAGTATGACAAATTTCAAAGGCATAGAAGCTGAAGGAATAAAAAAGATTACACAAAATGCTTTGCAATGCAATTAAAATGTTAATATTTTGAAAACTTCCATTATTTTATAATTATGATAGCAGTCCTTAACCATTTAATATTTTATTGCTCCGTCTGGAAAGAGAACACACCTGTACAGCCAGTTTTTCCTTTTTTGCTTGAATAGCCCATGTCACAGTGGCAGATGAATGATCCTTTGGTGTTTTCACAGGTCCCACTCAGACAGATATTTGGATTCAGGTCACATTCATTGACATCTATAAAACAGAGATATTTGTTATAACTAATAATTATGGCAAATAAGCCAGGAAAAGTATAATGTTTTCATTCAGAAAAATATTATTAAAAAAGTATTATAAAATACTATATCTAAATGCTTTCACTCAGAAAAAAATAGTATATTGGCAGACTAATGAAGAGACTGGCTTTTAGCTGGCCCAAAGGAGGGTCTGAGATGATCAATAAACAAAGTGTCTCTAAGATGAATGTACAGCCTGCTTATGTGAGTCAAGAAAACTTTTAAAAACAGAACACTGTGGCAAGAGTTTTATAATTCAGTCTGCATGGTGTTAACAATTTAGTTTCCATACTTTAAAAGAAAGAACAGATGAACTGACAGCCATAGTCTTAATAGTCAGAAGCGTCATTTGTTCTCCAAATTCAAACATTATTTATTTTTCATGACATTCATTTAAGTAAAGGTGTTCAGAAGATACAAATGTGCCAAAAATTTAAATATAACCAACTCTAGAGTCTTGCTTCTGGCCCAGATGGAATAACCTTCCCACCCAAAGCATCTTTAAAAAAATGGACACCAGACAGACAAATGATTTTGCAGACATTGGACGACAGACAGCAAAAGACAATGAATCTTGAGAGCAAGAAAACAAACAAGGGGAGTTCTAGATTATTCTCAGATTACTGTTGAGAGGAATTTTTAAGTCCATGGCAAAAGGAGTGGGAAACCAAGGGGAATCAGGTGACAACTTCCACTGTGGAGGTGAATGTAGAGTGGTGGCAGTTAAGGTAGCTAGAGCATGCAGGTGGAGCAAAGGACAGGAAGGAGCTGCAGAGAGAGCCCCAGAGGCTGCAGAAGTCCTTGGGTATTCAGGGGAGTAGAATGAGTGTGCCAGGTAAGGAAACAGATTCCTCAAGGCTGGGAAAACACTACCCAGGACAATGGCAGGCAACCATCTTCCAAGTTCATGGAAGGCGTGGAATTGTGCCTGTTCCCATCAGCCAAACTGGAAAAACCTCATAATTCACAGGGAATTTGGTAGAATATCCAGAAGGGTCTTTAGTAATGCAGCAAAATTAGTCCTAGACTAAGTGCTGCTTATAAACTTACAACCAAGAGTTTAAAAGAAGGAACAATCTGAAGTAACTTAACTGTATTCCAGAACAAAACTCAAGGATATTTCTAGGAATACAGAAGTATCCAGCACACAGTAAGGTGAATTTTACAATGTCTGGCTTACAACAAAAAATTACAAAGCAGGAAAATATGAATCACAGTGAGGTTGGAAGTTAATTTATTGAAATGACTAATATTGATACAGCTGACAGAATTAGTAGACAAGGACACTAAAACAGTTATTATAACTGTATTCCATTATTATAACATTTCCAAAAGCAGAAGGAAATGCTGAACATACTAAGTCTAGACAAAGAAGATAAAAAAACCCCAAACTTTTAGTAATGAAAACTACAATGTCTGAGATGAAAAATGTACTAGATAGCATTAAAGGCAGTTTAGATATTGCAGAAGAAAAGCTTAACAAGTTTGAAAGCAAAGCAATACAAAGTATCCACAACAGATACAATAAGTTCTAGGCTTACTACATTTCTGTTAAAGACAAATTTTGTGTGGCTTTTAGTCAAGCATTTTAAAAGCCTGAACTCAAGTTACACCAGAAAGAGGCTTAAGTGAACAGAAATAATGACTAGTTATAAAAGAAATGTCTATCTGAATTTGATCGATGGTTCAATCCATACAACATACCTGACAAAGAGAATCGTACCACAGACATAAGACAGTTACTTTTTGGAATGCAGGCTCCAAAATACGAGCAAATATCCATATTTTCCCCAGGGATCCATCTCCTGACTAAACCTATTAACCTTTATGTAATTCAACCTTACTTCTGAATAACCAGCCAAGATGAAAAGTTCTGTCTTCTCCACTTACCTACACAAGTCTTCATGTCTTCAGATGCCATGAATCCATCGTAACACAAACACCTGTACTCCCCAGGTATATTTGTACACTGGCCACCATCACAGATATTGGGATTATCTTCACACTCATCAATGTCTGTAAAGAACAAAACCAACAGTGACATGTTGTCGATGTTGGATTCATCAATCAGCAGAAAACATTAACTGACACAAGTCAAACAAACTCAGCCTACCCACATAAGATTACTAACTCTAAAATCCAAATGAAGCTCTGTGCAAGTTATCCTAAGAGGTTTTGTCACTGGTGAAAAAGGAGAGAACCATTTTTGTTTTGTTTTGTTTTGCGGTACTGGGGATCAAACTCAGAACTTTGAACCTGCGAGGCAGGCACGGTGCCACTGAGCTAAATCCCCGGCCAAGAGAGAACCATTTTTAAGATTAGCAATATGCTGTTTAAGGACAAGGTCTACACCCACTTAAAAGTCAATCATTTAATTACAAATTTTAACTCAGATGAATTTATCATTCAAAAACAATGCTGAATCTGATTTTTCTCATTGTCTAGTTATAAATGCCTGAGATCTATTATCTTCTGTTTTAATGCTATTTAAGGTGAAAATTGCTTGAAATAAGCATATCTACTTAAATGCACTTTTAATTAAAATGTTTATTTTCAACATTTACTTTTTAGAGCCAGAGTTTTTAATGGACACTTTTCTAGGTCAAATAAAATAATTGTGATTCCTAAACTCAACTTATCTTCTCAATCTGAGCCAAAAAACCTACATCACCCACTTTCTTCTTGTTTCTAGTTCACTACATGGCTCTACTAGCCCAGGGTGATACAATGGGAAGTGTAGACTGGAACAGCGGCTCTCAGACTTTAGCCTGCATCCCCATGTTGGGGAGAGCTTGTGGAAAAACAGATCACTGAGACTCCCAGGCACTTCTGACTCCATAGATCTGGGGCAGGGCCTGAGACTACATTTCTGACAAGTCCAGAGGGTGATATTGATGGTCCAGGAAACACTGAATTCGATCAAAAGACCAAACTCTTTACAATTCTAATCAAAAAAGAATATGCATTTGGTAGTCTGTTTATTATATGCCAGGTACTCTGTTAAGTTTCATACATATTCTTCCACAAAGGCAATCTGAACCCCACTGTATAGATGAAAAATCAGATACCAAGTGTCTTCATCAAACACCACAGCTAAACTATGAGATTTGAACCCAAGACTGTCTGACTCCAAAGCCCTGAGCCACCCTCCTTGGGGAACTGCTAAATGGAGACTTCTGCAGGAGGATGAAAGCCACTCACCAGTACATGATCTCTGGTCAGGCATCAGTGCGAATCCCGGCTGACAGCTACATTCATAGCTGCCTTCTGAGTTTGTGCAGAAGGTTTCGCACCCACCATTCATTATGCTGCACTCATCAATGTCTAAAAGAGATGCAAATGACGTCACCTTCTGGTGTGAACTGAATATTTATCCCCTCCAAAGTTCATGTGGGAACTTGAATACCATTGTAAAAGTCCTAAGAGGTGAGACCCTCAAGAGGCACTGAGGCCATGAGGGGTCTACCCCCGTGGGTGGCTCTGGTGCCATCATAAAAGGGTGAATGTGGCCCTCCCGCTCTCTCTCACCCTCCTGCCTCCTGCCATGGGATGACCTACGCCCCCCATGCCAGCACTTCAATATCAGACTTTCCAGCCTCCAAATGTAAGAGTCAGCGAATTTCTATTCACTACAAATCTTCCAGTTTCGAGTACTCTGTTATAACACCCTAAGAATGAACTTAACTTAAGACATCTTCTTCTGTGTTTGTGACTGTGGCGATTCTTCAGGTCACAGAGTCAGCCACAAACATGAAATTCAGTTTGACTGGCTGAGGTTCTGATTCCTTTCAAGAACCTGAATTGAAGTCCTCACTTGTCCTGGGCCGTGTTTCAGAAAAATTTGTGCTGATTTATGGTTTTGGGTGGAAACCATGTGAGACTTGGCAGTTTTACATGGTGTCCATCCCAACCCAGCAAAAACTGGCAGTATCTACAAAATTTCACTTTCTTTGGGCACCATAAAGCCACAGGGCTTTCTGTGTTCCTCTTCTCAGCACAACTAAAGCTATGGAGAGCCCACCACAAAACACAATGCTCGGCCCACAAAAACCCATCTTCAAAGAGTGCCAGACTCGGCCCCTATTCAGGGTGAGATGGAAACATCCTGCAGGCTTTCCCCGAGCTATTCCCGGAAATCTTTAGCTGTTCTACAGCACCCGAGGGCAGAGACCTCACTGCATGCTTCTTGTCTGTTCCACACCTCACCAGGTTTGGTTTAGCAAAGGTGGTTAACTGTACGGGCTAATTTTCCTTGTGCCTGCGTAGTAACTAGGCACACACTACCATTTATCATTTGCACCATGGGTCAATCATACTGGTTATAGCTGAAACAACCCATGTCCTTTATTTGATTAGTTCTTTAAATAGATAAAAGAAGTGCTGAGACCTAAAGCTTGTGAGCCACTGTGAAAAGAATTTTATTCACAGGGAAAGAAGAGAGATTAAGAAAAAGTGATGGAAACAGAACTCGGCACATATTGCTTGAGTACTCAGCAGAGACACTCAGTAAAATAAAACATCGAGTCAAGGCAGTGGAGGACTCACCCACACAGAAGAGCCTGTCTGGCGTGGAGTGGTAGCCCGGGTTGCAGGCGCACTGGTATTTCCCCATGAGGTTCACGCAGCGGCCATTGGGGCAGAGGTTGGCGCTCAGCTCGCACTCATTGATGTCTGTTTAGAAACCAAGAAGAGCAAACTTGCACACAGAAGCTTCTGAGGCCAGCAGAGAAGTGGCTCAAATGACCGGCTTCGGGCAAGTGGGCCGAACATCTGCCTGCTTACCGATGCACGCGGAGATGTTTGGGGACAGCTGGTGGCCAGCCGGGCACTCGCAGCGGTAACTCCCCTCCGTGTTCAGGCACACGCCCCCTCGGCAGAGGAGAGGGTCTCTCTGACACTCGTCGATATCTGCAAGATGGAAAGGACCGGCTGAGGGCGCCTTGGGGTCCTGATCCCTTCCCCGAGCCAGTCCTTCGTGTCCGTGTCCCTTGGCTGCTGGGAGCCCTGGCTACAAATGGCCTGCAGGCTCCCTTCTCGGAGTCGCCTGGGAGGGGAGAGGTCCTGCCTCTCCGGAGGCCCCCAGGGAGAGTGTGATTGCGCCAGCATGGGAGGAAAGGTCCTGACCTTGCCCCACACAGGACACCTCTCCCCTGCTGCTGCCCTGCGAGCTCCCTGCAGCGGGCCGGAGGCCGACGCCGAGCCCAGCCGCTTCCCTGCACCAACGTCCACCCTCACTTCCTCCGGGCTCCTCTTCTCTCTCCCTTCCCAAGCAAGAATCTCTATTTCAGACGCTGCTTCCAGGGGATGGGACCTAAGGCAGCCAGCTTAATCCATCTCTTTTCTGGACATACTGGACAGAAGCCCTGCAACAGGGCTTCTACTACAGTGACCACCTGACTTCTCTGAAGCTCACTCTGTCCCGGGGCTAAGTGCACTGGGCCTCATGGTCAACCAAGGGCCTACGGCGTGACCCCTCCTTCCTTCCACAGGTCGGTCTCCCTCTGCCACCTCTGACCTGTGACCAGGCCATGGCAGCAGTAGGAACCTGGGGCGCATGCTGCAAGGCATCAAAGTGTCTCAGAATCCCTTTCTTCCTGTGCTCACTGCATGGCCCAACTCACCCATGCAGTTCTTCATCATCATGAAGCCGCTCTCGTAGCCCACATCGCACTTGCACTCAAAGTCCCCTGGAGTGTTGACACACTGGCCCCGGCCACAGAGGTCGGGAGAGATGCGGCACTCATCAATGTCTGTGTGCAAACACGGGAGGCGGCAAATGAGAGTCAGGCAACACGGGGAAGAGGAAAGGTGCTCAAGGGCACCCCCTCGCCATCCCCCAGGGGCCGGCACGGACCTGTGCAGTTCCTCTCTTCAGAATCAAGAGCGAAGCCACTGTCGCACCTGCACTTGAAGCTGCCGATGGTGTTGCGGCACTTGCCATGGGTGCAGAGGCTCGGGATCATCTTGCACTCGTTGATGTCTGCACAGGAAATACAGTGTGGGAGACAGGAGTGTGAGCAACCACTGGGGACTCTGTGCCCCATGGGGTCGACCAGAAGGACGGCAGATCCCAAGTTTAGGTCTTGGTGAGACCTGTTTCAGAGAATGTGTGAGAACCCCTGACTCTGGACTTGTAAACATCTCTAGAGTCTGTGACTTCTCGATTTTAGGAAGCATCATTAGAAAAGCAAAATATTACTGCATTCCTATAATCCCAGCCTTCTGGGAGGCTGAAGCAGGAGGACTGCAAGTTTGAGTCCAACCTGGGTGATTTAGCAAGACTGTGTCTCAAAATAAAAAATTAAAAGGGCTGAGGATTTAGCTCAGTATTAAGGCCCTGGGTTTAATCCCCAGTACTGCAAAAAGAAAAATCATACACTTACATTGGACCTCCAGGGTCCTGTACACTGCCTGATGCACACAAATGAAGCTATTAACTATTCCAGACACAGATGTCTATTATACCTAAGGCACATAAAGGATAACTAGAACACACTGTCCTGTCACAGCCAACTGAATGGTAGGACGAGGTATTCATTCAGTGCCCTTTGTTGCTTTCTTGGATACATTTTACAATTCTTATGGGAATTTCAAAGATGTCATTTATAATTTGAATTATTTGCAGGTAATCTGTATTACTTAATTTTTCTTCTAAATATTACACATCATTAAAGTTCAATCAATAAAAGCTTTCTTTTTTTTTGAGACATAGTCTCACTGTGTAACTCAGGTTGGCCTTGAATACGTGGCAATCCTCCTGCTTCAGCCTCTTAATTACCGAGATTATAGGCCTGTGCCACCATGCCTGGCTTAATAAAGAATTTCTTGAATTTATATGAGATATTTTTATTTTAATATGTGCTAATAATTATAATAAAAATCTATGTATTACAGGTAGAAAAGATTTTAGAAAGAGACATCTAACAGGGCCACTTAGAAACTGTGTCTGCAGATAGAACAATTTTAACTCCCACAACTTCTTGGAGAAAACAGAAGAAGAAGAAATGAAGACAAAGACCACGAAGAAGTCTTCTATACTTTTTATACAGAGATAATTATGTGGCATTTATGCACTGACTGCTCGTTTTTCTGAGTTAAGTGACGTCATCTATACTAACACAGATGTAGGAATTCGCTCTAGACTTTCAAAGCCCAAGACAAGGGACAGGGCCCAGCTGAGCAGCACAAAGGCCTCACTAGGAGAAGCGGGGCCTCCCTGCATCACTAGGACTGAAGGGTGAATTCTCTTCTTGCCACACACTGAAATCCTCAAGGCCTGTATCATTATGTGCAAATGCTTTTTGGAATTAGATTAAATCTATACCTTCTGAATGTTGAGGTGGATTTTAATTCTGGCCTGATAAACTAGAATAACACTGCAACATCCTCACCACAGAGTGTCCACCACAGGACAGAAGTTGGCTGGCTGTGCAGGAAGAAGACCCACCGTTGGGTTTGCCCACTGCTCACTCTCCCTTCTCTACTCTCATGGTGTGGCAGTGACAGCCAGGCTTCCAACCAGCTGGTATAGAGTGAAGCGTCAACCAGGCAGGTTTCTTCTCATTTATTTCTGGCTTAGTGTGACGGGGATTAGTGAGACAGGAGTCAGGATTCTACTAGGCAGTAAGGACTTCGGCCCTAAAATGGAGTCAGGAAGCCCACAGTGGAGTCTGCTGGGTTACCACCTTCGAGGAGTCTTATAAAAACATCTGCCAGGAGTCCTCTGGCTGTCTGGGACCTCCCGAGAGGGGTCAGGTAGACCCCAGCTCAACGGCACCCTGCATGGCACTGAGTTAGCACTGCACAGATTGGATCCTGAAAAGCATGTGGTCCCCTATGGGGCAGAGAACACATCACTTGTGCAATGGCCTGAGCTCCCTTCTGAATCCCTTAAAAACCCCTAGGAAGACAGCAGTCATGTGCACCCCAATCAGAAGCCCCTCCCGGTTAGAGGGGGGGTTTATTTCCTTGCCTTTGTATCCTTTACTTCCTTACCTTTAGTATCTTTTAAGTAAATTTGCTTGCACCCTACCTCCTCTGTCCATGATTTCATTCTTCTTCACGGTGGAACTCAACCCCAACATTCTGGTATCATGGTATGAAGACTGATTTTATATATAATGGCTTGGAGGGAGAGGCAAGGGTCCTCCCAAAGCCCTGAGACGTGTATGTGTGTTTGTGTGTTGGGGGGGGTGTAATATAATTTAGACAGCTAAGAAGCCAGAGATGACCAAGGGACAACCACACAGATGACAGTCATCATGATTTTGTTAGCAGAACCCTGCTACCGGAAAGGACTCTCGATGGCCTATAAACACAGCCATGCAACGCACCTTTGAAGAAAGGTTTTCCATTTGTGATATCTTTGGTGGCGAATCCAGGGCCTCTAGGGCAGAGCTCCTCATACTCGGGCGTGCTCCTCACAGGACACTCCTCACACTCCTCGGTGCCCCAGGCGGCCCCGACAGAGCAGCAGCAGGCGTCCATGCGGTGGCGGCCTGCGATGGGCACCGTGCACTCCTCATCTTCGTACCTCAGGAAGCAGGTCTCCAGGCGGATGTCTGTGGGAGGGAGCAGACGCTGTCTTCACTGCCCAAACAAACTGCCAACATTTGTCTGGCAAAGGACAACACTCACACTAATTTACTACACACTGTTGACAGAAATGAATGTCTCTCCTCCCAAAGAAAACCAAGGTGTGTGGTGGGTATTGCTTTTCCTGCCTGAGAAAGACTTCTCTCTGTCAGCCTACACTTAGACCTCTTATTTGTGAAAAGCTCCCTTTCGACTCCGGGTGTTTTCTGCTCACTCTACATAGGGAGGGGTGTTCTGAGACTCCCATTATGCTCCTGTGGGAGGTGCTGTCTCCCTGGAGAGACACCATGATGGCTGGCACCTCCTCTCCCAGGAAGAGCAAAATGTGCCCTTCATTGTTGGAAGATGTCTGCACCAGCACAATCACCTCTTCCTCAGCCGCTTCATTACTGGAGAAATGGGATAGTAGACTCCGGAATGAGGACTGCTTGATTTAAGATGAAAGGGATACAGCAAAGGACAGCCACTCACTCTTGTTTATTTCACCACAACATGTGCGTGAGTGCCCATCTTTCAGGATACACACACAACACTTTTAACCCTAACCCCAAAATGATGGGATGGTGTGGGACAGTAGAAAGACTAACAGCCCAGAGGCCAGAAGACCTGGATTTGGGAACTGTTCTGCAGTAAGTTGTTTGTCTTGGACAAACCTGAATTTCCACATCTGTTAAATGACGCTGCCTCCATGTCTTAGCAGGTGCTGTGGAGCTCGAAAGAGAGCATGGATCTGGGAGCTGTGAAGTCTAATTAAAATGTCAGACGTCCGTCCTCCGCAGCATGCCCACTGGACATTCGCCCAAGAGCCCAAGCTTCCTCTCTTGTGAGGAAGCTGCTGAGCCTCTAGGTGACTTGATGTTTAGTCACCTGGACCAAGATGGGTATTTTAAAAACAATCCCTACGTCAAACACTGAAGCTTCAGTCAACAGGAACCTAGAGGAAGGTTTTCATCAACTTCCAATTCCTGCTAAACAAAGCCTCTAAGGCGCAGAGTGGAGTTAATGGACGTCCTCAGTTACAGAAACGCCCCAGCCTCTGAACTGCCCCTTTGAGTCCATGTGGCTTGTGCCTAGAAATCTACGTCTAACGGTGGCTTAGTTATAATCTGTAAAGGCAAAGATCCCTCCAGTGCACCTCAGCACCTTTTCCCCAGCCACTGTGGTCTTCACCAAGCATGTGTAGCCAAGACAGGCATCACATTCTGTCACAGACTCAGAAGCCGGGGGCCCACAGCACACATTCCCGGCAGTCCAGAGCCATGGTGGTAACACCATGAAAACTAAGTTACCAGTGAAGTCTTCCAGATGGCAAAAGAACGACTGTGGGATCTCAAACTCAATGCCAACAGGGCAGAGTGCTAAGAACATGGCGTTTTAGGTTTTGTGTCCTAAAACAATGATGTGTTTTAGGTCACTGGATGGGTTTTGGGCTTGAGATGCCCATTGGGACTCTAGCACTTGGCCAGGAGGAACACACCCAACTGTCGGCAGCAACAGCCTTGCTGTCCTCGTGTGTACTCTGCAGGGCAGTGGCATCTTGGCCCTGACACCACAGAGGTTTCCCTCAATGCCTGTCTTTCTCCTGCAAGCATCTGTCTCCAGCCAGGGGCAGGCCGTGCCGGGATGGCCCACGCTGCAGTTTCTTATTACATGCAGATATTGTTCTTTCCACCACCCGCCTTCTATTCTGTAGTGTGTGGATTACAGGGGCAGATCTAAGAGCTCTGAAGTCATAACTGTGATTTAAGAAAAAGTTACATAACTAAAGAGGACTCAAGTTCCTCCTCAGGTGTGTGGAGCTTGAGTTAAGGTGATTTTTCAAGGAAACCGCCCTGAGTCCTACAGCACACGCTGGATTTGAGAGTGTGCATCAGTGCACGGAACCAAATGTCCCACTGTGTCTTGTTAACTAAGTTTTTAATAATCTTTAAGAAATGATTATTAGAAAAATAACGAGCTCAGTATTTACCAAGGCAAATCCTTCCTGTGGTGTCCAAAGTCATCCCACTGGGGCACTGGCACTTGAACGATCCTCTGATGTTGACACATTGGCCGTTTTTGCACACGCCTGGGAACACCTCACATTCATCGATATCTAAAATTTTAAAACATGAAGTTAATATATCTGTATAAGATAATTCTACCTTATTCCACTCATGGACTCATAAATCTTCTCACAACAGTAAAACCATTTTGAACCTAAGTTCATAAAACTAGATTTTCTCCAAATCGTTCGTGGAGAATTTCTGGTATGTCAGACTAGCAACTAGATTGAGCCCCCCGATACTAAAGACATAAAGGTTTCCGATTGCTCTCAGGGAATAACTTTGGAGTTGTGGAGACAAGGAGTGGGTGTGAGTTTTGGGGATAGCTCTGACAGCCCTGGACACCTCAAGGGAGGCTCCAAGGGGTCATATAATTAGCATTCCGTCTGCCAACAGGGAAACGGAAGCCTGGTCTTTCGCGTATGCAAAGAAGAAATGTTTGAAGGTAAGTGCAGAAAAATCCCACCGAGGAATACGTGGGCCAGGCAAGAGTCTCTTTTGAGAAATGCTGGAAGGCCCCAGAAAATGTGTAGCTGGTTCTAACTTAGCAACGGTCACAGGCTGTTCTGTCAACACTACGGTGGCCCCTGCCTGGGACAAGGACAGCCAAAATGAGCTTGTGTGTGTCTGTTCTGCATCATTCAATCCCCAGTTTGCTTACTGGAGAGCAATGTGCTTGCTGAACTTTGGGAAAATACTTTTCATCAAGTTAATCCAAAGAAAGGCACTTATAGTACTTGCCAATGACAAAAAGGCAGAACATTAGTTAAGACACACACACACAAACACACACACACACACACACACAGAGTCTCAATTTTGAAGAAATAACATTTCAAACAAGGAATGTTGAAAAAAGTTTCTAAATCTTTCCTTTGAGTGGAGATAAACAGCAGTAGAATCTACCTTTGTGGCTTCGCTGTTTCTGTGGCTCTTGTTCTGACCATTTGTAAACCAAAATGTGCTGCTGGGCTCAGATAAGTTACTAACAGAGGGTCAGGATCAAGAAAAAGCCAAAGGATGCAGTCATCATTTGGAAAGCAAGACCCTGGGTGGGGGCTGTAGTGTTCTCCTTTGTTTTAACAAGGAAAAATCTTCATTTCGCCCCACATATGGGACTAATTGGTGTTTTTAAAATATTTCAGCTGCTGTGTCATGTCAGGTTGTGTTAGTCACTGTGACCTATATCTTTCTGGGACCCCGTGAGAGAATCATGGCAGACTGGAGAGAGTCCACACGGACTTTCAGAAAGAGGCAAAAGAGCATATCCTTTAAAATCATCTATAATCATGAAACAAACAAACAAAAAACCCAGGGGAAACCAAGAAAAATGCAAATTTTACAGTCTGATCCAAAGCTTCCTGTTTTTCTTTTCCTGGTAACACTTGGAAAGGGCAGCCGCTCTCAACCATGGTCAGCCTAAAAGAGTCTCAGGCACCCCATCTCTTGGCCAGAGGGACCCGATGCTGGCCCCAGCAATACGGATGCTTGCGCAGTTCACATCTGTGCTCCTCTGCAGTTCTCCCCTAACTTTTCTCTGCTGCCTATGTCTCACCATGAAAGTTACATGATCTCTTTATCCAGTCCAAGTTAGCACACACATTCCTCACGCACACCAAACTGGGTGTTAGAGATCATCAGAAATACCTTCACATTGTGTTCCTTTAATTCTTGAGTACCCTTTACCACATACAGGATCTGCAGAAAAGAACAAAGGACAAGGTAGTAATATCCACACAGGCAGTGATGACATCTTACAGGAAACACAAAGAGGTCCTGGCCAGAAACGGATTTTGCTGTCCAGAGCAAGTGTGAGGTAACAAAGTGTTTCTAAGATTGCAAAGGTGAGGAGGAGTAACAGGAGATGCCTCCTCGATAAAACTCAGCTCCTCTAAGATGCCTCGAAAGACAAAAGGTGACATCATGCTAAGGTGACAGCTCAGGAGGAGGCTGAATGTCGATTTCTTTCTTGCTATGAGCTGAAGGCAGGACTCACACTACAGAATGACTGTAAAGTGAGCAGGAGGCATGCAGCTGGGAATCCAGAGATCACAAGCATTTATGTACGGAAACACTGGATCAGTGGACATGAGAAAAGGCTCAAGAGGCTCAACTTCCCAGCAGGCTCAGAATTCGCTGGAAACTCTTCTCTTTATATCACTTACCTTTTTTGGAAATAAATTTGGACCTGTAAAAGACTCAGGAGCCCTAACCACGAGGTTCCCAGGAAAGGTGATGGGAACTGGGGCTCCAGAGAAGCAATGTAATCCAACCCCAGGCCCGCACGGGGACAGAAAGGGAAAAATTCACCAAATCATGTCTAATCGGTGTCCTTGATGCTTCCGTGATTTCCTCTTCAGGAATATGTTTCTTTGAGGTCGTCAGAGTTGAGTTTTTCAAAATGCCCATGCAAACCTGCATTGGGCTTTCCGTTCCTAAGCAAAGCGACCAATGGGATGGCGAGGGAGCCACCACACCCAATCGCTTACCGACTTGGCAGATGGTGCAGGGACTGCCCCAGGCTGCACCAAGGGAAGAGCAGCACTGGGACTTCAAGGTGGCTCCGTTGATGTTGATCTCACACCGCCCGTCGATGACCGTCTGCCAGCAAGTGCCCTTGATGGTTTCTGTGGAGGGGAGGAATATTTCACGGGTATTTAACACCATCGGCGTCAAAAAGCAGACACAAGCTTAAATAGTGCATGGTTTCTCATACATGAGAACCCGAAGGAAAAATAATTAAAGAACAAAATCAAAGACAGATAATAGCAGACAGGGAGATAGATCTTTTGCAAATGGGCCGGCAACCAAGCAATGGAGAGAAGGATGAAGGTGGGGAGGAGAAGGAGACGAAATAAGAATTAGGATGTGTCACGTCCATGTACCAACTCCCCACAATGAACGCAATCATTATGTGCTGAAAACACGTACGAACACAAATAAAAGTTTGAAAAAGAATTCAAACACACATACTGGAATTACAACAGGGACAGCATTATGAAACAAGAAATGAATGTCATTTTTAATGTTGCATCCATACTTAAAACGTTTTTGCAATAAAAAGCTGACATTAAGGGAAGCAACACTGGTAAACAGAAAAATCATTGCTACAAAGGTTAATACCTATGCAGATGGTTTTTGTTGGATCCAAAGTACTTTCGGGAGAGCATTCACAGCTGAAAGAGCCCTGGTTGTTCCGGCAGACACCATTAATGCAAGGACTCGAGTCACATTCATCAATATCTGAAACAAAAGCAGGTCCACATTACTGTTAAAAGCTAGTCTTGCACTCTGGCCTCAACTGCTACCACATATTCTTCACTGGACAGGAAAGCTGGAGCACATGGTTTTCCTAGACTGGATGGAATCCCAAAACAGTCACTGAGCTGGCATGTGGCTGAATATCCTTATTTGAAAAATCCGGGGTGGACGTGTGATTCCCCAGTTATGAATTCCAATAGCACATACACAGCATTTTCTTCATCTATTCAATGGTGGCAAATAAAATGTCCCTTGGGGGGGCCAGGGATTTAGCTCAGTGGTGCTGCCGCCTGCCTTGCAAGTACACAGTCTCGAGTTCAATCCCTGGTACCAAAAAAAAAAATGTCCCTTACAGGCAAAAGCATAATGCCTACCTTTAAATGGTGCTTAAATGGCAAATAAAATACCAATCGCAGGTAAATGCCATTAGTGGCTTTCAAAGCACCACTCAGAACCACAAAATTTCAACTAAATTGGCATAACAGTCGAAAACAGAATTGATTATTATAACTTATTTGTATGGTTTTCTAATGGCATCTCAAAAGGCAGCAAAGGGCACACTCGATGGACAAGAATAAAATGTGGTTTACCTTCACAGGTTTTCAGGTCCGGTTTGTATATGAATCCCTTGGGACAGGTACAGACGAAACTTCCAGGAGTGTTTCTACACTGTCCGTTGTCACAAAGTAGGCTGTTCAGCACGCATTCATTAATATCTGCAAAGCCGGTGAAAACGAATATTTGAAAGAGCCCATTCCTTGCATACAACTGTTTGACCTTTTAGATTAGGTCTTCAAGGTCATAATGGTATGATTAATTCCAACAAATCGCCAAACTCTCGTTTCATTGGCTTTTGTCTAAATTACTCCATTTTAGAAAAACAGGGGCTTGACCTGGTTATCTCAACTAGTTATCTACAAAGTCGTAAACCAGCAGGCATTATTTCATTCATGACTCTTTCATACCAAGAAAACCTGGATTTGCTGAAAATCTTTAATCTTTACTTTGTATAACTGCTTCATTGCGTCAGAATTGGAAGGATTACTCTGATTGAACAACTAAATAAATATATTTAGAAAGGTGGTCCATCTTTGGTATGTATTAGTTCCACCATAAGCATTTTTCTTCATTAAAATAAAGTGCCTCTAAGCATACTTCTAATTGGAAGCAATCTACAGAGTTTATAATTGTCATGGGGATTATAGCTTGTGATTTAGGGAGCCGGGGAAAACTTGCTTTCAGCTGAATAAGATGCCTGTCTGAGGAAAAACCCAAATTTAAGGAGAATTACCCAGGTAACTTATGAAATACAGAAAGCATGCAGTTTGTTATATCTCTCTGAGCTAAGTTATAACACACTAGCTACATAAGAGGCCAGGCACTCATAAGGAGTGCTTTATAGGCTGAGAGTCTGATTGGATCTATCATCCCACAGGTTAGCAGCCCTGACAGAAGGATTCACACATGTACCCTGGGGAACTGCACGGTACACACACTGAGTCCATTTAGATTTGCAACGCATGTTTAGAGTACTTAAAATATGGCAACATTGAGTCGCGCGGAACACACGCCGAGTCGGCCCGCTGCAGACGGGCGGGTCTGTGCACGCCCTGCCGAGGTCCTGAGTCGCGCGGGGGACACCTGGCACCCCCCAGGACTGCCCATGCCCTACCTAGGTCCTGAGTCATACAGAACACGCCGAATCAGCCCGCTGCAGACAGCCAGGTCTGTGCACGCCCTACCGAGGTCCTGAGTCGCGCTGAAGACACCGAGTCACCCCGCTGCAGACTGGCAGGTCTGCCCACACCCTACCGAGGTCCCCAGTGGCGCGGAACACACGCCGAATCACCCCCCTGCAGACAGGCAGCCACCTGATTCCACACTACAAAGACGCAGAGGACACCAGACCACCAGACCAAGGTACCGAGTCCCACTGTTCCTGGCCCAGAGGTAGGGGCTTCTGAGCC